TTACATTCATCTGCATAAACAATTAGATAAAGTTGTTGAAATTGTTCGTTTGTTATGTCATCTTTTTTTTTTCACTTGTCTCCCTTTTTCTCAATTTTACGCAAATTGATTATTGTCACGTTCATTTTTATGCTGTTGCATAACCAATTTTCGAATGGGCCTAACTGAAGAATCACAAGAACATCTCAAACTTGGCGACAATAACAAAAGTTCATCCTAATCAATAAAAAAAACCAAATTGAGCTTTGATGGCCACTTGAATTTCTTTATTCAGCTTGTTTCCCTCGCATTCATTCATCTTCTTTTTTCTTCTTCTCTTTTTTTCTCATTCGTCTTTCCGAGCAATTCGAATGTCTTCATTAATTTAGGGTTCGTTTTTTGGGATCATTTTTCAGTTGAGATATCTAAATTGTTCAGCAAGCACATAATAATCAATAAGTACTTTCCTTCTAATTGCACTTGAAATTGTTGAATTATTTTTTGTAACCGTACCGCCGATTGAAAATTATATATTCACTCATTTTCAAAATGAACGGTGGAAAAATTGGATGGAATTTTTTTTTTTTGCGAAATGTTTCTGGCTAATTATTTATCATGATTCCATCTCTCAAATTGTGTTCAAATTGTGATGACACTTTTTCAGCTCGTAACAAACTCATTGACGCACATTCTAATTAACATGCGATACAATGATATATCACATCACAAATTTTTATATCACGTGAATCATTTGTTTGTTATTATGATAATTTGAAGATGTATCTGTAAATATATCTAAAAAAAGTGAAATCAATTTGTTAATGCACTGAAAACAAAATCATTTCTAAATATAACATGTTACTGAGAGCGCAGAACACATTCAACTCTATCATCTGTCCACCGTGACAGATGTGAAATATTCCAATATTCGCAAATGTTGACATAAACAGCAAAGTAATATATAAAAAAAATGTGCAACAAATTTTATATCACATAGATAAATTAATGATGATGAAGTGGTAGATCCCATATGATGCAAAAAATGCGTTGTTGATTAGCTAACGTGTCTGTCGGTATATATATATATTATCATTCCCCGTTGTGGTTGCATAGCCACGATATTTCGCCATCAATTTTGGGTTTAATTATTAATTATGACATATTTAATATTTGTCGGAAAGATTGATTATTTCTATGAAATATTACTGAACTTCAATAATATGAATAGAAAATGAAAACGCAAATCGAATCGACATAAATAGTAATCATAATATTATTAAAATGGCAGCAAACCCAATATCAAAATAGTAATAATAATTATTATTTTAGCAACATTGTATGCCGCCTGGCCATATTGAATTTCTCAGCGCCTTTCGAAGGCCGAAAAATAATTTGAAGCTAATCAATAATAAAAAAATTGGATACGAAAAATTTAAATAAAAATTCAAATTCCGATGTGTTCACACATACTAAATCTCTGAAATGTAGACTGAATTGAGATTTACGGATTGTTTAGTAAATGTATATACACTTATTATTTCTTGAAATTTCCATATAGAGTGACGGAGAAAGATGGGCAAAGAGATAGAATTGCGAGGGACAACCACATTTCAAATAAACACAAAAGAATTTATGCATAGAAATGCAAATAACTTAAATTGCTTTTAGGTGAATATAGCATCGAAACACCAAAATAGAAAGCACCCCCTTGATAAAGCCACAGTACAAAATGGCAATCGAGAAATTGTGAAATACATGTGGGCATGGCGGGCATGTGAACATTACAGACAATGACAAAAAAGAATGCAATCATAACATATTTTTGTTCGCCTTCAAATCAATATTCCATATATAGAATATTCTTGCCAAAAATGTTTGGGTTATGTTCACTATATATATGTGAAATACTTAGAAAATGGTGGATTTTGATTAGCATTCCAGTGTGAAGGGAGGACGATAGCATTCTTCTTAATAACTGAGGTAATATGTGTGAGTGGACATTTCTGCAAATTACCAGTAAAATAAGCGAATGCTTTCACTGTTGACATTTTATGTTGAATTTCCATGTGACATACCATCAATGTGCTTGTCATTTCGGGAATGAGTTGCTTGGTTTTTTTTTAAAAACATATATAGTTGAGAGTATGCTGTAACTAAAATGATTCTGCTTAAAAATTGATTCTAAAATGGTTATGCTTAAAATGGTTCTTTTGCATCTTCTTTTTTTTTGTTCGTTGCATTGCACGCTTGGTTAACCGTAATTATGGGACTCAACATCGGAATAAAAATGTATATGAACATTGCGGAATGTACGATGTGCATATTATGTTTTACTCGCGTGCGCGCGCTCTTCGCCGCGCGTATGTATATTTCACCTCTACTCTCGCAACCTTTTATGTTGTACCATTCTTCTGTGCACCATGCGTGGTGGAAGCATTTGAACTTGCTCATTGAGAAAACGATATCGATAACATATATCGTTGACTCACGATGCAGCACGAAAACAATGGTAAAGTTAGCTATATTCAAAAGTCGGTGAACGCAAGCAAATACATACACACCATTTTATACATTCAACATTGGAAAAATGGTGAAAACCAATAAACTGGTTATCGGTCTTATGGTAATTCAATTAATTTTCGTTTGCGAATGATAGCAAGTGTGATCGAATGGAATGAGAAATGTGCTGTTGTTCAATTACACATATTTGCAATCGTAGTGAGAAGCACGAAAATTAGAAGGAGATTGAAATGTTAGCATGTGCACAACCTACACATATTTCGCGTAAGTTTGTTCATATGGGAGAAAACACATACACCAGCAAAATAACAAATGAAAACAATGCAAACCATGCACTCGAAGTATCTGCACTTCGGGCAATCAGTTAATCGGTTTTTGCTGTGATGTTATTGTGCTCAAGTTAATTTGTTTTTTGTTGTTGTCGTTACCGTGTACCTGTACTGCAACAGCGAAAAATCGAAATTCGAGAAAAGTTTTTCGATGCACATGAATATAACTATGCGTGTGATGGCCAAATTAAAACAAACGGTAGCGCTTCATCATCTTTACTAAGTCAAGCAAAGTTGTTGTTGCGTTTTTCTCCTTCACTTCTTCCATTTGATTCACGTGAAAAAATAAACTTAGCACACACACATCTGAAAAGAAAAACCATCCTTGACTTATTTGCACAGAGCGTATGAGCATTTTTTTTTTATGAAAGATAAACCGAACGATGTTGATTACTTTGGATCGCTTTGGATTGATGCAAACGACTGATTGAAGATTATTCAATTTTCTCACAGGGCATAACATATTTTGTGCGGATTGTTTAATCATCAGCCATTGAAGCGTATTTGATGATGCTCAGCAGGTAAATAAATTAGTTTGATGTGTGCAACACGATGACATCGAACCCACTGAAAAGATTCACCGTTATAAACAACATTGTGACAATTAAAATACTCACAAACAGAAACTTCATTATGAAATCAATTAAAACCATTAAAACAGGAAAAATTTGATGATAGAAAAAAATTAAAACTTAAAAAACGAAACAACAGTTTGATTTTAAAAATCCAATCAATTAGTTTTTTATTGTAAATTATAACTCTTGTTATCGATATTGATTGTTTTTAAATTATATCTTGTTATATGAATGAGCATGTCGTATGTTGCCTTATCACTATTAAATGATCTCAATCCAGAGTGAGGCAAATTGTTAATCATGATGACTATGATTAATTATTCAAGACGTTCTTCTAGATCTTAGCCTTTGGAGCTAATAGATGGCAGCACAGTTCCTATTTACATTGTCTCTCGCACTCTTCGCATTTGTTTGTACATCAAAATTGAACTAGTGCTTTTGCAATTTCTTATTGATTTTCAAATTACATCAGCGATCATAAACATGAAATGCAATTACCGCTTCTCATTGATGTTGTTACACATCGAAAATCCAGTAACCATAAATAAATCCATATTGCAAATGAATATATAACAAATTTTATGACTTATAAATTAATTTTGAGTTTAAATGCCCGCCCAAATTGTGTCTTTCCACTTTCCAAACAAAATGATAATGATGACAGTGTCACCGAACGATAGGCCTGTGTGTCAGAGTGTGTTTAAATAGATTTGTTACTCTCATCAATGTTCAAACGATTTACGGATTTTGGTCACTCTCTTATGGTTCATACAAATATTTACTTAATTACTCATTTGAATGCAGGGCATACCGTCAGTGATAAATGCAGCGATAAATCGAACGCAAACTGGCATAAAGAGTCTCTTCCCTGGTTTTATTGCAGTTTGTCTGTAGTAAGGACGACGATTTGCATTACAATAACACCCTTTATGCGAGTTTTAAATGTCCGTCTGGATCCATCATCGCATCGTAACATTAGCTGACGGTATGCCTAACTCGATTGCTTCCGGCTGAATTTTTTTTTCTGTTTTTTTTTTTTCTCTCGTCCGCAGCAACTTTGCTACATGGCACAAATAAAACAAAACAGTAGGGTAAAAAGAGCGCAGTAGTTGAATTTTTATTTTTAATAAACGAAGCAACACGTTTTGCATAATGCTTTAATTCCGCATTATTTAACGATAAAATTGATGCTGTTAAATGAAATTGCAACCAATGGGGATTTCATGGAATTAAAAGTTCTACGAGGTTTTTTTTTCAGCACAGCATCCAGAGCGCCCAAACAAATGTTCGCGTAGTGGCAAGGGGTGGGAGGGGAATGTAGTACCGTATTATGTCCACACAATGTTGTTTATTGTCGGAATTGAATGCGGTAATTTGTTCAACCACACAGTTAAAAAAATTATCTACGAACAAGAAGAATATATATATAGCATATTTGTCTTATAACCGTTACCAACCACGCCGAAAAAATAAACAATTACAATATGAACAAAAAAAAAATCGGAAGCTAAAAAAAATCCAATTAAGTAAATTTATCACTTACAACATAATTGCGGTTTTTCAACTCGTATTTGTTTTTTTGTTTTTATCTTTTCAGTTCAGTCATCAATCGATTTTAAATGTGAGCGGTGTCCAAGAAACGACCACACACACACACACCAACATCATCCAACCAAAGATACAACAATCGATCAATAGTTCAATTCATGGGAAAGTGTGCATCAAAACAGCAATTGCATCATCGGGAGTTTTTGCAACCGAAATATAATTGGAGCGATAAGAGCAATGGACGAACGACGGTCAATGGAAAAAAAACTAGATCATCGATATCCGAACAAAGCATTTTTCTGTTGATTGAAAATGAGGTAATTCCATTTTTATCAAGTAGCTCGTATATATATATTCTCAATTGTAATTGTTTATTTGTCGTTCACTCTGCAAATCTCTCCGTCATTCAGAGTGGCGCACACACTAGCGCGCATTGCAGTGAATAAGTCGAATGAAAATGTCAAAAAAACAGTACATTTTTCAAACGCGTCCGAAACTAAAGAATCAAGAATTGTATCGCTTATGTCGTGTCCTGTCGTCAATGTGCTTCGATTCGATTAGTTAGTTGTCTGCAATCTCGTTCTAATCACGAAAAATGTCGAAACAGAATTGATGCTCGTCAATAAATGGAATTTATTTCTTTCCATTCTACGTTTTTATTGTTTTTCTCCAATGCCCGTTTAAATAAGTATGTACAACAGCGCACAACCTTAATTCATTATGAGCCAATTAAATGGTGTGTTTGAATGTATGACGACAGCGGCAACGCCAACGATGGTGATGACATAGAAAAGACCGATTTCTCCCTGTTCAAATGCGAATGTGATTATATGTTATGTCTATTTCAGTGTGGAAATTAAATTGATTTGGGACATTATACATCCAGGGTAAAGAGAATAAATCGCGGGCTCATTTACTAAAATTAAATCCGATTTTCAAACTCGCCGATTAACTGAATGAGACAAAAATACACGGCAATTGAAATACTTTTGCACTTGTACAATTTGTATGTGGGCCGCATAATATGATTTTCTGCATGTATATCTCTATCAGAAAGACTAAACGATTTTTCGATTTGAAACCCACAAATGAAATTAATTATTTTCGCATTTAGCATGATTTATTGACATTAACAATCGTGTACTAATGCGATGTTTATATTACAAGCTTATTTCTTCACTCTGTCATCATTCTCTCTCTCTCTCTCTACATATATCTCATACACACTTTATCCTTTTGCGTGGCAAAAATCTTTCAAAACCCGATATAAAATGATTCAATGATAATATATGAATTATGTTGTACATTTTGATATGGCCGTACGTTCGTATAATGGTGGAATTTTCATTGTTTCCTATCAAAGTCGAATAATTGGGGGATTACAGCATTAATCGATGGCATTGCCAACACAACAATTTCATCGTTATTTTCACATATAATGTTTACATACATGAATAATATACTAAAATCCAAGGGGCATTTTACTATATGCGAATGCCATTTTATACGGAATATATGAAAATTTTCCTATTCATACATGAAATATACGAAGTAAAGTATATTCATCCGCATCAACATCTATGAAAATTCGTACATTTCATTCGCAACCATTCGCGGATGCCGCATACGTCTTGCTAGATGCGACAAACTGTCGTCTGACATTTGTACATACACATTGCTGTGTTCAGTTTGTCGTGGAAGTTTCAAACACAATGTCATTGTTCTCAACTAAATTTGAAAAACAGTTAAAGAAAAAAATACAAGATTATTTGTTGAATATTATTTTAGAAGACGTATTCGATTCGAAAAGTGAGATTTTAGAAATAAATTCAGATAATATAAAAGAAATTGAAAGTTACGTCAATGAAAATAAAAACCTTTCACAAGGCACCGTTTACAGTGATAATATTACGAGTGGCAAGGATTTATTTACCATTTTAGAAAAATTTCACTCAATATTACCAAAAAAATATCAATTCGGCTTGAATCTCTGTCACCTAATTTGTCACTTTGACTTTTTGAATGTAAAAATATGACTTTTCATATGCGCCATCCGCAAAATGTGTATGAAACATTCGACACCGTCCGCAAATTTGTATGAAACATCCGCCACCATTCGTACAATTTGTAAGAAACATTTGCGACCATTCGTTTACATTTGCAAAATATATAGGAAAAATTCGCTCGCATATGGATCATTCGTTTAAGTCGGAACCCCCTAGCTAAAATCCCAAACAAAGTACACACACACACACACAATTCGATTTCACTTTCAAAGAGATGCACGCATACACACGCACGCACGCCCATCATGCACGCCGACAGCTTCAACGACTGGCATAAAACATTTCCATCCGAAAAATGATTAACTTTAACACAATCGTTAAAAGCAAAAGAGATCTATTCGCAATGTTTGAATTAAAATCCTGCTTATGAGAAACGAACAATCGAAAATCCCGAGAAAAAAACACACACACCGACATGATAAAGGGAAAATCAGAAAACACATCAAAACGAAACAGTCACATTAAATTATCATTTAATGTGGGAGAGAGAACATGTGTACGGCGTTTTCTTTCATTTTCATTTAGATAGTTATATATTAAGATCGTGTTTTCTCGTCATTTGCAATGACGATTTTATGTGCAAATCAAAATTCTTTTCATTCGAACGAAATCCTCATATTCATATAATGAGATTTATAATACAAATCAAAACTCATCATACCATCGGCAAACATCACATATCTCAGATCCATCTACTTGAATAGTACATAATTCAGTTTCTATGACATTGTGAAACCCACATACATTGCATACACATCAATGAATCAGAGAGAAAAAAAATAATCCGTTGAATGAATATACATTGTAGATTATGTACAATCGCATGAATCACATTGAGCTGGATATGAAGAGGAAAGAGAAAAATGAAAAAAAAAAATACTTTTTCTCCAATTATAACCGAATAACAAGATACACTACCTAATTTTATGACGCTAATTTTCATTCATGAAAATAAAAAGACAACGAACGACAAATGGCAGAAAAGGTTAAATAAACCTGATAAAAAACGGAAGAATGCATGCAATTTATTTCTGATTTCCCAATGCATAGATAACGTACATGTTTTACGCCTTTTCTTCAAATTGATTAAATCAAAGTGTTTTCAAAAAGTCTCTGAACTTTTTCGATATGGTAAACAATTTTAAAGCCAAGAGAAATTTTGCTCTGCCATAGAACCAGGTGGCTAAATTAAATGTCGGACGTTTCTTTGAACTATATTTAAATGTTGTTATAAGTTATTTGATGGTGGAAATAGTAGTTTCATTGTTGATCTTAGATTGTTTACCGTGAAAAGTACAATCAATGCTTTGGAAAACTTATGTTCACTTACTATATTGGTTCTTGAATATCTTCTAAATCAAACATAATTTCTCAATTAAATCAAAGAAAACTTCAAAAAGAACCAAATTTAATTAAAGTCTATCTTTGAAAATGAAAATCAATTTCTTCAGACATTATATTAAGATATTTTCAGCCAGATGAATCAGCTCCGCCTGATATCGTCAGGCGCTGAATGTGAGTGAAAACAATAGAAGTGATTGTTATGGCTATAATTAAACTTACACAGAAACAAATATCCGAGTACGGTGACTCGCACTTGCGGTGTTAGCAGAGAGTCTACCCCTCAAAATGAGTTACGCACTCTATTTTACTCTATTTTTGGTGTTAATTTCATCCAAGTGAATGCATCATAGTGAAAGAAGATATACATGTGTAGTCATAGCCGCATGCGTTCAACGTACATATATGACTACACATGTATCTCTTCTTTCACTACGATGCGTTCACTTGGAACTGCTAACACCGCGAGTGCGAGTAACCGTACTTGGATATTTGTTTCTGTGTATATTGCTACAATCACTTTTATTGTTTTCACTCCAAACGAAGAAGCAGTTGATGCGTTCAAAACACACGTTTTGGAGATATCACTTTCGGAGTGGCATGAATGCTATGACAAATGGTTCGAGCGAATGCAAAAGTGTATTGATCATCATGGCGAATATTTTGAAAAACAATAAAACCATTTTCGATGAAACCCCATTGTCTTATATATGTTTTTGAAAAAACTTAGATAGTGACCCTCGTAATCAATGGCTCCGTTCCTCTTTTTATCCATGCAAGTTTTAAGTTTAAAGACGATTCAATGAATTTTATATTTTGTTCAATAACTTTTTACAATATTTTCTATATTATTATGAAATAAGTCAATTGTTCATTTTGTTTTGTGACTTCATGATGGGATGCATATAATATTCTATTTTTTTAAATATTGAATTGATGCGACCGTTGAAAACTTTATATTTCAAACCATAACCATGTATCGTTTTCTCGTCAATAGATGGTTCTTAAAGCATGTTGATGACGCTTTGAAATGTGCACAAAGCTAAAAAAATCGTCTCTCTCTCCGTGCTTTCTCTCCGAAAAAATGGTATAAAAGCTTCTCTTAATGCTATAGATGGCATACGAATGAACTTATCGATCCAATAAACAACTACCCCTGGGGTGTGCACATGCGCCATGTATCCTCAACAACACACGCCAATCGTAGTATGAACAGTGCCGTATTTTGAGGACAAGAAATATACACGAGGGCACCGAGCAGATACATTATTTCTCTGTTTTCCACATATCTTTCGTAAAAATTATAAGTTGAGTCACGCGATTACGGATCTGTTTGCTGTTTTCCCCTAGACCAAATTTACAACATGCCTGTACACACAATCGGGTAGTACGTCGAACGTAGTTTTCCAGTATAACCATAAACTTAAAAAAGATCCTATCATCATTACTTCATCGCAAAAACGATGAAAAACCTAAGAATATTCAAATTTCATTCAATAATTCCTTTAAAAAAGACAGAAAAATCCATTCCAAGTGATAAAAGTGTACACAATCAAATAGCAGACATTGAAAACTATGGTCGGTGGTGTTAGTTTCAATGAAATCTTTTGCGCAAATTGCGTTTTAACTTAAAATTGACAAGTAAAAGCAGCAACAACAACAAATTGTACAAAACAGGAACAAAAGCGAGAAGAAAAAAAAAAGAAATCACGAGAAAAACAAGTACGCTGCAGAAATGCATTCTCGACGATACATTTGATTTCGTCTATAACTGTAGTGGCCATTGTGTGTGTTTGTTTTATATTTATGGTCCAAAATCTATTGCGGAAACATATTTGTTGAGTGACAAAGTGACTGATTTTATTCAGCCGTTTATCTGGCATATCCAATATGGATGAATGCCAAAATGTAATAAATTTTTGTGAATTTGATACAATTAATATTGATGACGCAACTACTGGATTTAAAATGGTGAACACAACAAAGCACATTTCTTTTGATATATAGATTTTTCATTTGCTATTAACCCTGTGAGAGAGAAAATTATTGATTTTTTATTTCATTTCAATTGGTTTTAATTGGTTTGGTGTTTATATTTACATGAAGAGTTTGTTTCTGAACTGGATTTCGTATTGACGTAAAAATACAAGTTATGATTCTGATTACTGATTTAATGTTTTTTTTTTTTGGTTAAAAGGGTCAAACAGAAAGTAAAAAACGTTCCAGGTCCGTTGAGACAAAGGGAACGGCAATGTCATTTGGCTTCAAAAAGAAATTGCCACCACAAAAACGAAATACACTAACCGATAATGGTCGAGTTAAGGACAATGGATTAAATTCGATAAATGGAAATCATTTAAAAACAGATAATGCATGTTGTATCAATGGTGATGATAATGGAAATTCAGGTTTGTTGCAAGATTGATCACCAAATTATCTGATTTTGAAATTCAATTCAAAAAAATGAAAAAAATAATGAATTATCCGAAAAATTGGCTATTTCAGTGGAATCAATAGAGACATTGAGTGACAGTACAACGGTTGGTCGATCCACGCCTCGACTAACGCCACCAAAGAAGGAATCAGCAGGTGCTCCATATCGAAGTACACGCTTTGGATTTCGCATAAATAGACCATCATCGACTGGCATATCGGCATCATCAAAAAATTGCGAAAATGTCATTAACAACAATCATTCAGAGGCTAAACTAAACGGTAATTAGATAATTAAAGAGAAAAAAAAGAAGAAATGATTTTTTTCCTTTTCTACTTTTGTCGATGTCGTCGTTGAAAATATTCATTTAAAAAAGCAAATTTTTCCTCAATTTTAGTGAAACCGCGTTCAAAAAGTGCATGTGGTTCTCGACGTTCGATTGCATCGTCGACAACAAGTAATGAATCGCATCAAAGACATCCAACTGTACATTTTCAATTGCCGTCGCCAACTTCATCTCCACAAAAACAATTTGATGTGCAGCAGCTCAAGAAGAACTCGGATCCAAAAATAGATAACGAATCGACAACTGTCAATAATTATGCAAATAGTCGACAAACCACACAAATGCAACGGAAAATGTTTTTCATGCAATCAAATCCCATTCAAAATACATTCAATCAGAATAAGCCACCAAGCGGAAAACGTTCATACACGATCATCAACACAGAGCTGCACACAAACGAAATGTGAGTGTGCTAAAAACAAATTGAAATTTTCGAATCTTATTAAAATAAAACAAACAAAACACACATACAACGCGATGAAATGCATTAGGTGTAACACAAGATGAAAATATATATATATAAAAAAAAACAAAATAAAACAATTCCAATGATGGTGTCTAAAAATATACCCGTTGGGCTATCGTTTGATATATACAGGGAACACTTTAAGCATTTTATCCGTTGAAATGTGCGCCTCTTTTGTGCACACATTCTCTCTTTCTCGACCGATTTTCGTGTGTCAATTAAGTCATGTTGTTTGTCGCGCTTTACCGATGAAATGTTGTTGTTTTTAACTTTTTGGGAATTGTGTTGTGTTTTTTTTTTCTCTTTCAACTTGTCAAATTTCAGACATCGTCCGACGCCACAAGCGGCAACGACAATCGTCTCGAAATTTACATTGCACACAACTAGTTTACCGAAGCCACAGTACCCAGTGCCAGTTAGTTTAGCTCCACGTCATTCAATGGATGTGAAAAATGCAAAACAAGCGGCCAATACAACGACGAAAAAAAGCGGTGGCGGCTTTCAAGCGCAACGTGAAATTTCGGCCGATTCGGGTATTGGCAGCATCAGCAGTCATGGCAGTGGAATTGATTTGAAAAAATCACCACAGCGACAACGACGACCAAGAAATTTGGAAATGGTGTTCAGCGGACGAAATAAATTCCACGTACGTGATTTAACCGAAGATTCATTTTCCGATGACAATGTACAACCATTGGCATTGCCACAATTACCAACCGCATTCAGTGCAAGAGCTCAACCCGCTAATATAAGGTATGCAAATTCATGTATGCAATTGTATCAAATGATATTCAAAATTCATTTTATTCTCTTTTACAGTGGTTTAATCAGAGCAACCAATAATTATGGTAATAAGGCAAAAATCTCTGTACACTCACTCGACGGCTATAATAATCGACTTGATCCGGGCAATCGACAAACGGCGCATAGTTCAGATGGTAAAGAAACAATTGAAGAGGAAAAACTTGAAATCGACAACAAGGCGACGGAAAAACTAACAAACCATACCATTTTGACTCCTGCATATGGTTATCTAAGCAAAAGCCCATCGGTAACATCCAATTCAATAACGGTACATGCTATATATATTTTCACAGTGAAATAGATTGAACTAATTTTAAATGTAAAAAAAAAAATCGATTACAGGGAATGTGTATTGGTGAAGAATTGGCAAGCAAAGATGGCATTAGCCTAAGTAGTACGGATACAAGCAGACAAAATAATAACCAAAATGAGTATGATGATGATATCAGTACAATAACATTATCTACAGATAATAAAATCACGTCGATCTGTGAGTTTTTGATTTTATTTTGTGCGAAAACATTTTATTATTTGAAGTTGTTTTTTTAAATTTTAGCTTCAACGACAATGCCACAATCGCAATTTGATCCATTGTACGACGAATTGTCATCACCAATGAATGGAAACGACGTTATGGTAACCGATCAAAAGTTTGCAGCAATAACCGCTGCAATGAATGACATTTTAATCGACGATGAAACATCGCCATCGGACAGTTTAATCAGTAGCACCGCATCGGACGATTTAAGTGCAGCAAAAAAACCAAAAAATAATAAGAAAAAAATGATTGAGTCGATAAGAGATGGTGATGAAAAGGACATAAATGAAGTGTCACCGATATTTGAGATGGCCAGTCCTATATCGCACGGAACGCCAACACATGCAACCAATTCATTTTCATTTTCGGACTGTGATGGTGGCCGAGATTTTTTGATTGATGACGAAATTGCCGATCAACCTGTACTATGTTTTGGTGATAATCAGGGTAACCTAGATTCCACATCAATACATGCATACATTTCAATTGAATCGATTTGTAACATATTTCTTTTTTTTTTTTTTCATTTCAGCATCAAATACTCAATTGCATTCGTTAGTTGATACGCCTACGTTGAAAGAAAATTCATCGGCAAAATCATCAATCAAACGTATGCCATCGACAACATCAAATAATAACAGTGCCACAAATTCGTATGCACCACAAGCAAGACCGCGACAATCGTTAATTTCAAGAGCCGAATCGCTTGACACATTATCACCATGCGAATCAATTTGTTCGGATGATTTAATGATGGACTTTGAATGCAACAGCAGCATCGATTCAATTGATCGTGCATCCCGATCGAATCGAAGTGGCATTGGTGATGTTAACAGTATAAATGGCAGTACAACAAAAGTCAATAAACTTGATGAAGCACAACTATGGACTGAATTCGAACAAAATGGTGGTGGACATTTCAAGGATTGGAGCTACCTATTGAAAACTTCAAGGAATAAATTTCAAGACATTTCTGTGTAAGTTATTTTTTTCTTGGATAATTCCCCCTTCCATTTGAGCCTAAAAAATTGACAAAAAAATAGAAATGCAGTGTCCATTACAAAGCAAAACAAAAGCATTATGCGATCGATATTTTGAACGCGGTTTTTGCACAAAAGAACAATAGAAATGCCATTGGTGTTGTAATACTTTTTACTTTTATATTTACCTTATTTCGCTGCCGCAGCAATGAATTCACATTACTCTAGTCATAAAATAGAACACAGAATTATCATTAGACCGCATGCAAACATGCATTTCTCCAAAATCACAAATTTCTAAAGAAAAAGAAGAGAGAAAATTCGCGCGTCGAAATGAAATAAATCAACGGTAACAACCGGTTGCGGTAGTCGATTTTGCCTACCTGCAGGAGGTTTTTATAGCTTTTGAGCCGGAAAAACCTCATTCTTTAGTTTCTTACTTCAACTTCATTTGAATTTTCGAGCAATTCATACTTATCTTGCAGAAAGTTCTTTATATGTGTTCTTGACACTAAGGAAAATGTGCTCTGCTCAACAATATATCAAAAAATGCATTTGGATAAACCTCATTCAATTCCAAAATGATGGATAAATTCATTGTGCCGACACTTTTGAAATATAAAGTAGTTACGATTTGATAGAAAATTGGATTTGAATGAAGTCTCATTTTTTATATTTAAATCATACAATTTGAACTGACGAAATTATTATATATCAAACAAAAAGTTCCATTTAACATTGATTTACTCCGAAACAATTTAAAAGAAAAACAGAGATAATTGTTAGAGTAGTTTAAAATGTGATAAACAAATAAATTGATTTTTTTACGGTAAAAACATACTAATGAGGTTTTTTTGCTAATTTCAACAACACATTATTAAATATCAAGTGCATTCCGTTATCTCTTTAGCTTCGCGGATACTTGTTCAACTCATCGTTTTGCACAAAAATCGCATACGGCGTTTCTCACCAAGTTGACTAAATGCGAAGAAGATATAAAAAACAGACATAGAATGAAAGAGAAACGTGAAATACACAAATGAAAGAGGAAAAGCAATTAAATGTGTTCACAAACTAACAATGTCGGAAGACGAAAAAAAAACGTTCAAGAAACCGTAATTCAGTTGTGAAATTTGTTGATGTCATTAACTTAAGCAACATATCAAACGGTCTTTTATTCTCATTTCCACAATAGAACATACATTTCGTCGCATAGTAATAGATCTGGCTTTGAAATTAGACAAAACCGATAAAAATTTCAATTTAAAAACGTCCAACGAACGTTGGTGATTACAGTGATGTTTTTGGCGTAATTTGAGCATATACCCCCCAGACCAACAATATATATAAAATTTAATCCCAAAACAGAGCGGCATTAGGTCGCGGTATGTCAACTTGTAAAAATGTCAACGCAAGAAAAGCGAAATAAGCCAGCGAATGTATGTAAAGTACTAATCTAAATCCATGTCAAATGGTTTATGTTTCTGCATATTCATATCCAACTTTTTTGAAATAGATGAGTATATTCAACAATACCATAACAACAATGTTCCATGTTTCCGCGTATACCAACACATTTTGAGTACACCGACCGAAAAAAAGGTATCAAAAAATGAACGGTGTTTGTAATTGTTGGGGGAAAAAAATCTACAGTGTATTTCGTATATTTTGTGACGATAGTTTAGTAGCAAGTTGCGTGTACGCTTCTGCATGCGATGTACTGCATGAGACAGCAACGGATTCCAAAAGCCAAAGTCAGTCGTTTCAAGAGACCCAAAAGTCAAAATTAAAAGACCGACCATCGCTTGTACACAGAAATCGTACATATTGCTCTTTTTCTTTCTTTCTTCAAACCAACCAGTCCATGTATGCTTGCTGGTTCCGCGCAACAACAATGAAATGTTTGCGGTGCTTGTGTAACGCGTACATTCAGTTCTTACCATTTCTTTTCATGTTTATATTGTTCGACTCAGTTGGTTTGATGTTGACGGTTCAGCGATGCGGGCGACTCTTACAATGCGTTAAACTCAAAGCATAACATCAACGTTTGTTTTGATTCATTCGAACTCGGTGTAGAACCATGTAAACTAACTAAAAGTTCTTAGTTCTTAATTCATTTGTTCGTGCATTTGTTTATAACCAAATTTGTTCTTTTTTTTGTTGTGAGAAAAATTTGACATGAATTTGGCTAATTGGAAGATAGACAGAATGGTGCTAGTTATATTTGTGGATAAATAAAATTTGCAACTAGTAAGAATAATAATAAAGTGAATATGACAATTTGATCAAATGATCGGTTCAGCTGCATTCCATTTAAATTCCATTGTTTGTGTACGGTTTTTTCTTCTTTTACCTGCGATGGAATGCGTTCTTTCACCTTTCTCTCGATCGGCATCGTGGTAATTTGACCTGATTTAATGTCGAAATAAACTCTGATGTGAATTAAAAGCATGCAAAAAAGAGAAAATCTTCTTTTATGTGCTGTGTGATCTTTTGAAAATTATTGGCTTCCATTCGAAGCTGTGTGTGTGTGTGATTTATAACGCGAAAATTGTAGACTTATATTTGACGTTTATCATCAATATGGAATTCAAAACAATAACCAAAGAAACATCGGTAACCGTCATGACTCCAAATCGACCAATAACATCTAATAACTTCATCTTTAGGTAAATAAATCTGTTCCTTTTTCATCGTTTTCTTAATAAAAATCGTTGTACTAATGAAAATTCGCACTTTCGTCATACTTTCTGAATTTCATAAACAAATGAACACATTTTTTTCGCTCCTGTGCAATTTGACAGAAGAAATGCGATGAAATGAAACGAACCTCAATATGATAATGACTTTTGTTGATTTTTTTTCAACTAAAACGAAAAAATACACTAAATTCCGAAGTATATTAATGATATTTATGGTCAACATTGTCTATAATTCGTCTCTTCTTTCTCTGTACGGTATGAAAAAAATGCTCGCTTCTTTTAAATGAGGTTTCCATTGTGATTGTTTTCTTTTCGACTGGTAACGAAACGATTTAAATAAACTGTGGCGCATTCTGAGAAAATTACATTAACAAACTCAACATACACTTGTTTGGCTTCGAATTCTTCTATCGCCTTATTCGTGACAATTTCTCATAAACATTTGTTTTTTTTTCTTTTCGTTTCTTCTAAATGCCAAATATTCTTAATAATCGTGATTTCCTTTGTGCATTGTACAATTGTGCAAAAGTCAAACGAAAAAAAAAATCAATGAAAAATTTGAATGACAGTATGAGAATAAACAAAAAGTTTTTTTTTTTTTGCTGTTTCGAAATTCACGATTGGAATTTTGGTTGTTGGTAATATTTTTTTCCATGCACGTGGCTCCGGTAACTAAATTTGACACGAAGAACAAAACACACCATCGATCGCGAGAATGCGTTCAATATAAATTGTTTGATCAAATTCTACTGCCGCATCGACGATTGAGAGGAATGGAACACAGCAATAAAAACTAGATCGTTTATTACAATTTGAGTTTGGCTTTGTTCAAAAAAAAAAATCTATAGCCATACAATACACGATGTGTTTACTTTCACCTCTCCCATACAACTTCCATGTGTTTGAACAACAATACAAAACACACGAAAATTAAAAAAAAAAAGAAGAAATTATATAAATTATTCTAACGATGAGCCAAACAGTTACAATGCTCTTCATTTTGCATTTTCATGTTTTGCTGCACTTGCATAAATGCACACAAAGCATACTCTCATAAAGCATATATACATAAATTCACACACACATAACTCAGTGAAGACAATACTTGCCGTTTTTTGCCGCGTTGTGTGCAAGCGTGGCCATTTATTGGAATTTTCTTTTCTTTTTCTATGTTTTGTGATTTTTACACTTCACTGCATTCGGTAGCCGCAATATTCGCTTTTTAACGCGGCTACGAACTAATTTTGATGGCTTTACATTGGATTTTAAGTGAGTTGGCTTGAATCGAAGTGAAGTGTTTTTGGTGCGTTTTACCGACAAATCATATTTTTACCATTTCCATTTATTTATTTGTTTCAATTTTTCACATTTTTGAATGATATGTGTCGGTCAAAACAAAAACAAACCACACGAATTTTTGTATCTACATTACAGTTTATGTTCAGTTTATTTATGTGGTTGGCTATTGACCGTTTAAAAATTTAAAAAAAGATCACTTTTTAACATATGAAACGATAGTGTGACAAACTTTATGAGGCCACATTTCAAATGTTCAATTGATGGAAAGTTGTGGATCACATTTGAAATGGTCGATTCATGAAGCAGAACGACAGCAAACGTATGTGATATGACAAAAAAGAAGAAGAATACTTCTGTTCCATATTATTTCTTTTTGTTAAGTGTACGTGCCTAATTGTAAAGCCATCTTATGTGTTGTTCTGTTACGTAATTTTTTTGCAAATATATCGTCAATATTTTTATCAGCGAAAAATGTGTGTTCGAACGCAAATGCATAGTGCTTTTAGTTCGATAAAATTCGACTTCGTTGAATGTTTTTTTTTATCGTTGACATTGAATTGCCGTGTGTGCTTTTGTTTTCTATGTGAATCATTGTGTGACCCAGTCTGTTTTGTATGATATTAACGAAAATGAGGCACAGAACACAAAAACACACCATATTGTAATATTTTTTTCTTCAGTGAATGACTATTGACATTTGGATATTTATTTACTTCTTTTTTGTGTGGTTCTGTCGTTGCGAATCGAAATTTGTGTACCGTTGAAAACATTTGAATTGTGTGTCATGATGTCATGATAGATTCCCTGCGACCCAGACAATTATTTAAAAAGATAGATTAGGTGTTTGTGCGATAGAGAAACAAAAACTGAAGAATTGTTACAGCAGGTCGTATGAGTTGTTTGACACTCGCATATCAGTCAGTGCAAATGATTCATTTTACTGTGACCCACCATCGCTGTGTGATATATCATTGAATTATTATCATTTTTTTTAATCGAAAATTGCGGCGTGTACGCTTAAGACAATAACAAAAAAAAAATCAATTGAAATTTCATGATGAATCTATTTTCGCCGCTTGGTGCAAGGCGATTGAAGACTGACTTAAGACCGTCCGACACATTCATTGTACGAAAGACTGATTTAAAGCCAATTAAGTGCGTTCAACAATAAAATGTTGTTGTTTTTTTCTTCTTTAAATCAACAAGTGGCTCAAATGTTTATTCTGATTATTTCGTTAATGCATCCACATAATTTTAATTTGTTGGTTTTTATTTGAATAGCTCGCAACTTCCAGCACGATCAACGCGACTATTGAATCGATCTCGTTTACAACATAATGCCAGTTTGAATGGTTTAGAGAGTCCGCGTTCGATCGAAAATTTACATTCAATCAATAAAACGGTAACAACACAACAATTTGGACGGGACTCGGCCAATGGTTCCCCGGATGAGCAACTCTTTATGCTGGATAAAACCCTGCGAAATTCTATGATACAAGATGTGCAATACTGTAAACAGCAATTGCTACAATTGCGTAGCATTTTGCAGGAAGTAAGTGCATTAATTAAAAAAATGTTTATGTGTTGCATGTTTTTTATGTTCGGCATGTTGAAGGTGTTCAATTACATATTTTCGGTATTGTTTTGTATTTAATTTAATTGCATTGTTTTTGTCGCATGTTTAATTTTTTATTTTCATTTGGAAATATCATTTCTGCAATTCTTTGTTTGTTTGTGTGGATTGTCTTGATTTAATAACATTATTGTTGAACCAGAACGAGGAATATTTGATGACGAGGGTATGTTTTAATTTTCTGCTTGTTTTCATTCAATCTGTAGTTGTGTGTTGTTTTTTCATTTAATATTCTAGAAAAAAAAATAGTCATCTGGTTTCCAATTGAAATTAATTTTTCATTTATTTTTCATGTGCAGACGGCTTCTCTCAACCCATTTGAAAGCAATAATGGGAAATTCTTCGATGCATCTGGTGAAGGCATTCTGAACAGTGTAGAACGTGATAATTACTCACCATCGTTGTCCGACGATCCGAAGCATGATTTGGTCGATCTACGTAGACAGGTGGTTTATCTTCAGGTACTAAGCACGCGTTCCCTGTTTTTAATTTTGTCATTTTTCTATTGATTTGGTTTTAATTTTTGGTTTGCCAATTTTTTTGTTTTCAACTTAATTTTATTTCGTACAAACTGATATATTTTTTTTCTCGAATTGCATTTGTGACATCTATTTCCATTCTTTTTTATAATAAGCCAAACAAACTTGTCGAAATATAGATGATTTAATTTACATTATGGATAAATAAAATGCTGGCATGCAATTCTATTCGAATATCGATCGACAAGAACAAAAAAAAAAGATAAATGAAATAAAATGTATGCAACAAAAGTGGTCAGTTGACGTCATTGCGGTTTGCTACAATAAATAACCATCTCTTCCTTTTCTGTTTCTTAATTCACTCTCAGTTTTTATGTCATTTTCTTTGTGTAAAAAAAAACACACATTTTTTTTGTAAAGCCTTATGTTGTTCAAATTTTGAAAGTCTCCTTCGGTGTACTTATTTATTTATTTCTTTAATTAAATTCAAAATAATTCTGTACAAACATCATAGTAGCATGCCATTCTCTATAGCGAAGTTTTTTCCTATGTATTTAATATTTAAAAAAAATGAACGCTGATAAACAAACCAATTTGTGGAACAAGCATTTTTCCACAATTACTTTTGCTCATACTTTATTTGTTTCGATTAATTTCATAATATTAACTGAACATTTTTTTTAGAAACAATTAGCTTCATTAAACATATCATATAAGATAGTAAAGTTTCATTGTTTAGTTTTTTAGATGGAAAATTATATGAATGTATATTAATTGAATATTCTTAAATTTTTGTGTGCCTGTATTTTTGCGGTTGTTGGATCAAAAACAGAGTCAGCTCGACGATAAGGATCGAACAATTCGAATTCAGCAAAATTTGATAAACAAACTCGAAGCCGAAATGGATAATGGCAAAGATCGTGTACAAACCGAACAAGTGATTGATACTGTCAATACGGCAACACAAACCGATCGGGTACGTATAGAATTGAATTTTGTTTTTACTGAACGAAACTATATGACAAAAATTTGATTTCAGGTGCGACCACTCTCAATGAATTTTGATGGATCGAATAGGTAAGAGTCACAAATTCATTTGGTTATTATTTCTTTTTAAGATTTGGTAATTTTATCACTCACACAATAAATTACCTTACACAAATACCAACATATTTGACAGCATTTAACCGTTTATATCACTGAACACCTAAACACCAAACAACATTTCTAGACATTATATTTATTTAATTATTTAATTTTTCTTTTCATTTCGTAGTAATGAGTTTTTGGCATTTTTCTCTTCCAGAAATTTGTCAACCGCTATATTTTTTACGTTAAACAATTTTTGGTTATTCGATCGTAAATACTTTTATCAAACATTTCGTTCGTATGTGCAACGTATTTTTCAACTTCTACCGCATTCAACTGACTATCGTTTAATTTTGCCATCAACATTTTCTTTGCCATTGTCAACAACATCAATTCATTCACTAGCCATGAATATGGTCAACCGACTTTCTATGCCATTATACAATGAGCACATCACAATTTTCCGTTCATTTGCATTCAGAAAATTCATGCCAAACATTAGCCTATTATCAATTGCATACGTCTTTCACTCTCACATAAATGGCCGTTCAACAAATCATTCATATCTATTAAGCAATATTGTGTTTGCCATTCAATCAATATTCACATCGACCAACTGTAATTTTCTATTATAGCACATGTAAATAAACATTTTTACAAAACAGACATTTAATTTTTTTTGGACACATCAATTCCGAAAATGGCAATGATTCTTTTCATTTCTTTTTTTTCACGCTGCATTTTTGTTGTGTGTGTGTGTGTGCGTGCGTGCGTGCGTGCATTTGGCCTGGTTAAACGAACAAAATAAAAACTATATTAACGAACCTACAAATGACCGACGGATTATTATGTGGGTATTGAAAATGTTTTGTTTCTTTTCTCTTTTGTAAATAAAAACAAACAAACGGACATTTGCAATAGACATGATGCGGGACAGGTATTATTTTGTGATTGTATTCTATCAATTGTATTGATATGTTCGATTAATATCATTTGCTTTATGTACTTATGCCTAACATGTGTCAATTCAAGACAATTTAAAGACTGTTGAAATTTCGCGTGCGCACAATATATTTACATATATCGCTTAAGATTCATTTTTTTTTTAAATTCCAAATCAATCATCATGATGACAAACTAACTGAGCGAATTTCTTATTTTACTCACAAATGCGAATGCAACTCATAAATCTCATAAAAATTATTCACAATTCTCTCAGTTTATGGCATCTAATGTAACAAAAATAGCAAAATCCAAATAATTTTTGTAAATTGGTTGAATTAAAATCGATCGAAAAAGACGATTCGAAAAATTAAATTGATTCCATTCAAAAAAAAAAATCTTCGTCGCTAATTCAGCGAATTTTTTTTTATAACATCAACCAATTCAAAAGAGCCTTAAAAAATTAAAAGAAAATTGTATGCAGTGCCATTTATAATGTTATTTCAAATAATCAAATTGAACGGAAATTATTTAGTGTTTTTTAGAATTTTCAAAATTTAAAAAAATCTATATATTCATGATGGTGCTTTTTTACCTGTTATAATTATTAAATTCCTGATGAGACTTGAATTTCATAGTGATGCTTTAACAAAAAAACTGTTCTTTTTTTTCTAATGAATGCTAACCAACCCGTTGCAAGAGAATCAAAACAAACGAACAATAAAAATTATATTCAATATATTTGAAGTAGAAATGAGCTAAAACCTAAGCAATTAGGATCAATATTACTTAACAGATGGATTGCGGTTCATTCAAATAAATCGAGAAAAAAAAACATATTTAAATAAATTTAACGTTTTGTTGTTTGTCAACATTTCATTTATTTATTTTTTTTTTGTATCAGAAAGTTTTTTTTAACAAATTGTTATTAATAAAAAAAATATTTGTGTTTTCTTTTCATGCTGCTCTTATTAACTGTATTAGTAAGGTAAAATTCAATACTAACAAATTTGTTTTTTTTTTTTTTTTTTGAAATCTTAACAATTTCGTGTAGTTTTTTTTCGTGTGAAAAAGAAAAAGAAATTAGTTTCTCAAATCTTTCTGTTCTTTTTTTTTGTTTTAGTAATCGAAGTGAGGATGATTACATGACATCGCCACGAACATCGGCAACATCAAGCATTTCATCATTATCATCATCTTTATCTTCGACTTCCAAGTCATTGATCTCTTAGAAAATATATGTATTATTTTAACAAAGTCTAGAGATCTCGCCATAGAGACCATAAGTGTTTTAGAAAAAAAAAAAACCAAACAAAATGTAAATATTTGTTCAATGGTGTTTAATAATCGCAATTTTGTTTTTTTACATTAAATTTCATTGCTTTTTGACGAGAAAAAAATTGTAAAAAAATGTATAATCTCTTGAATGAAGAGGGAAAAAGTTAGCCTATTGACAGGTAGTATTATGATATAATGTTAATTAACTTGTCAATGGCTAAATTTACTAGAATGATTTTTGAAACTTCTTCATATAAATTGTAGCAGAATCCTTATTTGAAATATAATCAAATGTTATATTGATTGAAAAAAATGGATGAATGAATATAATCAATGAATTGAATGAATCATACACAAAAAAAAGACACTTTGATTATATATTGTTCTAAAATCAAAAAAATCTTGAATAAAATGCAATAAACAACATTTATTTTATTTTCAATAATACTAAAATTTACTAATACTGTAATTGTAAGGTAAAGAAGGTACGACTTTATACGGGAGTGTGAACTATGCTCATAATAAGTGAGCAATTGTTGCTTTTGATATTTGAAGAACACCAGAGATGTTGGATAGGACAGCCAAGGAAAATATCTTTACAGATATTTACTCAATGTGCGCCGATTAATTAAAAAATGTTTTGTTCTCATTTTTGAAGTTATTAAACATTTTTTTCAACTTTAGCAGCATCATGATTTAAAGATATTTTTCGAAATTTATTTCCAATTTAAAATATATATTTTTTTTCAATTGATCAAAGAAAGGTCTTGAATTTAATTTTCACGATTCATAATTATTTTATTAATTTTGATAATCTAGTCTATATCTTCTACTTATTACACCATATTCAGATCAACCAAAATGCATCTATATAGACATCTTGAAGTTGTCGTGTTTACGTGATTCGGTTTCATAATTTTCTATGATTAGTTCGAATTGTAATGATAAAAAATCTTCTGCTTTCACTTGAAGAATGTCGGTGTGATTGACCACTAAACTCGAGACTTGGACCTTTGACCATTTTCATTAAAATCTAAAGTAAAAAATAGCAACACATTTGGTAAATAATAAATCATTGAAATATGTTGATACATACGTCCATGTTTTTTCGTGACTTTTTTTACCATCCAGTCTGTAAAATAGCTTTGCCTGAAAAAAATTTGAATATGTTTAGTAGTTGAAGTGCAAAAAATGTCATTCATCTCACTTTTTAGATATTCGAATACGGCGTTGATTTTAATACGAGTAAGATACCGATATAAACTGTTTCCTTCTTTGAAGTGATCTCCGTCCTCATCGTCACAGTTCTCTTCTCTTTTTTTGTTGGATTTGAAGTTCAAATTTTTAACCGTGCCGGATTGTAATTAGATGGACATGATGCGATGCATGAATTTAGAGCTATAACTATTGAAAACGGGCAAAATGCCTTTGATTGCATTTTGTATGCTGCTGAATTTTGTATAATCTATTAAAAAGATTAAACCTATTTTAAAAAAAATCCTCTAGTTATCGAAGTCTTTATTTGAGCTGAACGATATGTATGTGTTTTGACATTTCAAATGTCAACTTCGCCTGAATGGAAACGGTTTGTATAAATGTATACCGAAAGCGTTTTAGCCAAGTAACAAACCCCCGCTTTATGGAAGACATTCAAAGGTAAAACCCATTTGTTCTTTAAACTTAACTTACGGAAACATATCGAATGTAATTTTATGTAGAAAATGAAAAAGAAGGCTGTGTTGCTTTTTGAAGTAGATTAAAGCTCGGTAAATAATGAAAGTTCAACAAAATTCATTTTCATCTCGGCACATAAGAGGGCATTAGGTAAAGTTATTTTGAATTAATTGAAATCAAAGGATGTAATACAATTTAAAAAGAAAATAACCGAAAAAAGAATTGTGGAATTTAAAAGGCAAATAACACATTGGCCATTTGTGGCAGATGTAATTTTGGAAAACATTAGATTTGTAATCGAAAACCATTTCGCACAAACAATTTCAATTATTTTCCGATTTTGTTTTAATTTTTCGATTCATGGGCGACACTATTGGGCGTTCTCTTTGTATAGATCAGAAATGTGTGAGAATATTTTTTTTGAGGGGAAGATTTCAATTTTTTTTCGAAAAATTTGGTGAAAATTCATAGCAAATCGGAATAATTTTTCTCAATTTCAAAAAACCCCAACAAATTCGAACAATATCTCGGAGGAAAAAAAGTCATCGAAATCACAGAAGAGGGGGGTGATGGTAAACTCCCTTCTCACATTACTGATATAGATGGTACATAAAATTTTCTTCGAAAGCCAATCATTTGTAGATTGTTAGCTTCAACATTTTCCCAAGCCGTGTAAAAATGATTCTACATTTACCGTGTACAAGTACATCATGATCTCATATGTCACATAACCGATTTGTGTTCCAATCCATGTCATGACTCGATTTGACGAAGGAAAGGTAATGGCAAGGATTTTGTTCTTATACAAATCCGTACGCATTGAAAACTATTGCCAGTGCTATATCCGAAATGTATTTCCCCGGATATTTTTTCTTCGTTTTCTCGATGTTACTTTCACCATCGACGTCTTCTTCACGCAGTCAAATATTTATTTGTTACCAAGTTACAGTAAATAGCACAAGTTTATCATAAATTTTCCAAATGGTCTTTTATATATATTACCTACCGGTGTGGCAGGGGTCGTCGTGTCGTCGTATAAAGTAGTTTTTCTCTCATTTCATATTTACTGATGTGATTTGTCGCAATTTCGTCTCGGATTTCGAAAGGCAAATAATAAACATGCGAGCACATGTGGATATTAGTATAAACATACACATTTATAAACTCTTAGATGAAGACGCCTTTGAATTATTTATTAAAATGTGGATTTTCCGACCACTGTTCTGCATTATTTGGTTCTTTTTGACTGTTAACGCTATTTTTCGCCATCCACGTTGTAGCGCGACTTTAATGCTGACGAAATTTCATTTCAATAAATAAATCATAAAGAAAATAACATCGAAAAATCGTTAACCCGAAAGAAAATTGGATTTCCATGAAGCTTTCGCTTAATATGTGCATTTCATATTCAACTTGAAAAAAAGTTTAATTGAATTGCCTTGTTTCTACAACTATGGTAGAGAGAGAGAGAGGGAGAGAGAGAAAGAAATCGTCTTCGTGCTTCCGCATGTGTCTCCCCAATCGATTGGTAGACACTTTGGAATTAACAATACGAACTGGATGTGATTGGAATGAATCAAACGAATCGATAGTCACCTTTTCATATATAAAACAACGCGCATACAACTTAATTGTTGCGACAGGAGAAAATATAAAACGAAAAATCTCAAACACATTGCGGAACGAGTTGTAATTAATACTAAGACACTTCGTTATTGTATTATTATTGTTAATATTTGCTTTCTCTGAATAAGACGACGTTAATTTGCATTTAAATAACGTTTGTTCATTGCTTCGGAACTGTATTGGATTTTAGCTCCTGCTTCCCCTCTCTCTTCTTGTTTGCACCTTCCCAAAAAAGTACAGAAACTTCAATCGAATTGAATGGTGCACACCAACATAATACCAAAATGCAAAATACGACCGGAGAAAAATTTGAATAAAACAGCAATTTTATTGACTTAATCTCCTTTCTGTTCTGCACATCGAGCGAATGACTGGCTAAAGTTACCTTTATATACACACACATATATATTTATGTAAGAATATATTTACCCGATTTGATATTCGTTCGGATGTCCTGTTCTCGTGTGCGTTCATACGCTTGGGCACCGTTTCCTCTTGCTTCGGATTGCGCTCGATTATACGATAATCGAAAAGCCTTTTATCGCTTTCAATTCTTGTAAATATTTATAGATGTGGACAAATAATCGAAAAACTGGTGTCACACCTACACCTACAATTCATTCAATTCATTTTATTGAACGGAAAACTTTACCATTGTATCTATTGCTAACCCAAATTATGTGAATTAATTCGATATGTTTGTGTATGTATGCATGTGTGTCGTGCCACATATATTCGATCAGATCTATCCAGATTTAAAACAAAAAGTGGAAAAACGAATTTCAAAACACACCATAATTGACTTTTGCATGCGTGTTAGAGAGAGAGGAAGAGAGAGAGAAATGGTGATATGACGTAACATGAGCACATTGCTAAGGTTATAGAGGTTGTATTCATATAATACCCTCATTCACTTGTCTTTCTACATCTCGTTTATTCCATTCATGAAAATCAATGGTGCAACCACAATTTGATATTGTTTCAAATGTTAAATCGAATAAAATAATTCGGTCGAATAAACATATAGTAGAAAATTCGATTTTTGTCCCGTTTTTTACGACATTAAACGGCACTAATTATTGCTTGAAATGTGATTATAATTTCGGATTTAAATCCACCGATAAATAGACTGAAAATGTAACTAGCCAAATTCGAACTCAAAGATCGTTGAAATGTCGATGGAAATTTTCATCGAATTTTTCTTTTCAAGCAATGTATGCCAAATGCCATTTTCTATATTTACCAAATCGTACACTTATGAGAAGAGTTCTTTTACTAACAAAAACTTACGTTGAATAAAAGCAAAAAAAAAATTGTTCACGGATACGGATAAATATTTTATCTGTGAATAGTAATAAGTTATAACAGTGAGCCTATCATTTAGAAGATGTGGTTTTTAACGGAGATACCTTTATCTCACCAATACATGTATAAACATTATGTACAAACACAATCTATTATCCAGCCAGTTTTGGTGGCGACTATACATTATTATTATTATTATTATTATTATATAAATACATTTCGAACTAATCTTTTTTCAATTCGCATGCCAAATCGACAATTTTCAATATTTTTTCAAAGTCTCGAAGGTTTTGAGTAATTAGAGAGCACTCTCACTGGCTTCTTAGTGTCTCCACTCATTTGCATAACTTTCAATAATGACTTTTAGTACGTAGAATTGGCTGACCCTTCATATAAATACCTTTCGAACTAATATGATTTCAATTCACATGCCCCTCTGCAAATTTTTCTAACGAGCCTATTATTTGAGACACCCTGTATATGTAGTGCAACCAAGGGGGAAAGTACTAAATCATTTCAATGCCAGTAATACGATCTAGTACAAAAAAATACCAAGTAATACCGAAAAATACCAAGCTATTTAAAAAAATACTATGCAATACTGAACATTTATTTCGATCTGTTACAACTAGACAAAATTACGTATATTGACATCGATTTATTTAAACAAGATTATGAATGTTTTCAAGTAAAGATTTTCAATTTTAAAATATTCACAGAAGTAGAAAAAACATTATAAATTGTCCAACGAATTGAAAGATTTTCATGCATTTTAATAATAATTTGTCATCCAAAATGCTTTCAAAATTGAAACACATACTTACTTCAACACATTTAATTAAATCGATGTAAACATACGTACCTTTGTCCAGTTATGACGGATCGAAATAAAGGTTCAGTACTGTATCGTATTTTTCAATATAGCTTGGTATTTTTCGGTATTACTTGGTTTTTTTTGTACTAGATCGTATTACTGGTATTGAAATGATTTAGTACTTTTCCCCTTGAGTGCAACAGTAATATTTATTCCTTGGTGTTTCACTTGAATTTCCACATACACTTCGATATACAAACACATAATGGAAAATCACATATGTTCGCTGCCATACTTTCAACATCGTAGTTTCCGTCGTCGTTGTCGTCGTCATTGTCGTTTGTTCAAATGGATTTCACACAAATCAAAGGGCAAATACATGGATCCATTCGCCAAATAAATTGTGTTTGCCATCTCAGCAAGAGAGAGAGAGAGAGAGAGAGAGAGAGAGAGAGAGAGAAAGAAAAGTAGGTAAGTAGAACTTTGGCTGTTGAAGCCCATAGGATGACTTTTGTATTATAAAGTCAATTGTACGTTGGAAATTAACAATAAATAAACATTTTCTACATATTATGGGTGCATTATGTGTATCGTTGTGTTTTTGGGTTATAAAGATGATTTGCACAATAACAAAAACATTAGTCACGTTGCATATTATAACCTATAGGTAATGAAAAAGGTTCACCGACATTTGTTGTTTCTGTTATGTTGTTGTTTTTGTTATAGTATCAATATTATTGCATCGGAAACAGAACATTTACCATGTAAACAAGTGTGTTTTATTTTGGTATAAACACGCATTAGATAAAATACCATTCACTTTTCATACAATACACAATAAAATATACCAAAATACCATTCTGAAGAATCAATTTGATTGTGTCGTAGCAATGTGTCTTTAGTAGAAATCAAAACGACAATTCTTAAAAACATTAATTTACATTTCATTTTCGAAGAATTCAATTGTCAAACAGTGTGTCAACCCAAGGGAATACAATTACATGCTCATATTCATACGAAAATAAGCATATACACACGAGATCTGGCTGTCATATGTCGAATATCACCACAAACAGTATTGCTAAAACAACAATCATGTTATCAAATAGAAACACAAAACACAATTCGGTGATTTTGCATCAGAAATTCACAAAAACTAGCATCATTATCACGATAAAATAATCAAATATGCAAAGTAACCTTTCTGTCTTCTACCAATATTCGTTCATCTAGCCTGCAAACCAATTTTAAAAGAATGATTTTGCTCTTCAAGAATAGTAAAGTTTTCAGTCAAGTAACTGTCTTGATATCACACACACAAAGACTGGGAAACATCATGCAATCGAACCGTATGGTTTGTGTGATTGGTTTATGTAGTAATTGAAATCATGCAAAAAAACATCTCATCAGCATTCGCCTTAATAGTATTTTTAATGTATTTTAAAATAAAAAACTTTTTTTACAAGCTATATTGTTTGCTTAAATTAATATTCAATGTGAATAAACAATTGCTTTAAAATCAAATTTAAATTATTTCACCATAAAAAATATTATTATTAAATATAATAGGAGTGTTTCGTGTCACGAGTTATTTACTTGTGAAATGTTCGTTTGTTTATTGGGTGTATCGATTAATTTTAAAGGATTTTTGTGTGAAAAGATACATTTATTTAAAAACAACTGTACAATATTTTTTAACCAATGTATTGCCCATCGTTGGCTATGACTTCCGCCCATCTTCTTGGTAGCTTGTCGATTCCGCGTCGAAAGAATTCCTCATCTTTTGAAGCTATCCATTCATCGATCCAATTTCGCGCTTTTTCATAATTTTGAATGTGTTCATCGAACAGGCTGATTTTCATCGATCGGAACAAGTGGCAATCAGAAGGAGCCAGGTCTGGAGAGTACGCGGGTTGATCAAGCTCATCCCGACCAGAGTCCCCTATCTTTTTTTTGCGATGTTTGAAATATGTCAAATTTTGATAAATCCTTCGACTATTTCTTGTCGCAGTTTTTTTCAATTTTTCTCTCAGTACTCCGCTCAAACGTATTGGTTGTAATCGAAGCCGATCCCCCGTGACTGTTTCACCCTGTTTCAGCAGCTCATTATACACCAAACCACCTTATCCCCACCAAATAATGAGCATTACCGAGAAATCATCAAAATCCTGCTATGCTGTAGATTTTGATGATTGTGTGGGATTGAACCCTTATTTTTATGCCTGGGGTTATCGTAGCAGATGCCCTCTTCACTTCCAGTTACAATACGATACAAAAATTCCTTTCTTTCTTATTTTTGGAACATTGTGCCAAAATGTGAAAAAACATCTAACAACTAGTTTTGGATTCAGCTGGTGTGGCACACAATTTCTTTGGTCTTATCTCATTACAAATATCTTAAAACGATTGATTCGCATATATTTAATGCTTCTGATGTTTTTCTGATGCATTTTCATGCATCTTTATCGAATAAAAAACGCCAATAGCCCAACATTCAATTTTTTTTGGTGATTTCACAGTTTTTCAACAAATTCACCACTTCTTTCTCACCAAATTCAACATTCTCTGTGGCGATTGAGAGTTCTCGTCTCCTGCAACATTTTATAACCTTTAGATGTATTTTCACTTTATTTAAAGTGAAAAAATTGAACCAAAGGAGGGCCAGACAGAAAAACACTTTTTCATCACTCATTTTGAATCGATCAGAAAATAATGACACTGTGTCAAAAATAAATCTTTCTGCTCTGAATTAGATTGGCAAATGTCACATGTACAAAATGCAATGGGATTCACCTGTCAAGCTACACACAATTTCAAGTTACGCCATCTCTTATCAATCCTTTAAAATTAATCGATACACCCAATATATTCTGAGTTACAATTTGATACATTTTTGTTAAATGAATTTTTGTTAATTGTTCACAAAATTATGAAATGTCATTTCTGATTGACAAATATTTGAATTTATCATTTGTATTTGTTTGTTTTAGGTTATTATTCATTCGTTTAGCAAATAAGACAATACATTTGTAATGCGATCCATTTCGATAGACCATTTCATTTGTCCGTACATTTTCAAAAAACTGAAACATTTCTCTTTCATCAATTCGATTCGTGGTCGAACATAGAAACCATTACACAAAGTTTGAATCTTGAAATTTTTTTCGATAAATTTAAAATTTGAGTCAGATATCATTTGAAGATTGGATGGCAACGTTTTGAAACTGCAACGTTCGCATTTGCAGTTTATATTTCTGTCTTTAAATGTTGCTCGTCGTTCTGCCTCTGAGTGAAAAGTATCCAGTATAGTATATGAAATGAATAATTGTTCATTTTTCTTGATCGGTCGAGTTGTAATACCAGTGATAAAACCGTTTTTAAGAATGTAACAAACATTCGGAATGCATGAATGTTTTAAATTTTTGGCGATGAGGTTAATATACGTATCAGTAATGTTTACACCACCAATTGCTGCAGTCCGTTTATTATAGGCTCCGCTACGATAATTAAAATTTATTAATAAGATTATATGACTAAAATTGGAATAAATTGCAATTCTTTCTTATGAATTTTTATCAACCCTGACTTGCGTCATATGGGCTTCTGTGTTATTGTGCCGAACTCCGCTCAACGTGGCGCCATCTCTTTACACGAAGTTGAAGTAATAAAAGTTTTTGTGTATTTCTTAAGTTTGAGAGAAATCGCATATTCACATACATATTTAGTTGCGTTGAATTGTAATTTAATAACTGGTAATAAAAAATGTCAACGAAATCAAAGAGAAGAATTATAGAAGTCACAACAGTTATTATATACATATTTATGGTTTACTGCCGCCAATCTACGTCATATGAAACGCCTTTTTATTCGGTCTTCTCTTCATTACAAAAAAATAAAATAAAAATATACACACAGCGTAGAGCAATATTTCTTTCGACTTGAAATTTCGTAGCATTTAAAATTTGATTGCAAATTTCACTTAAAATTAATCGAGCACACTTAGCAATTTTTTTGATGAAAAAAATTTAATTTAATATGAAATCTCAAAACATAGCATCATACAAAATGACAATTTGTTTACATGCTCATCGTTGACAGCCGGTATATGCGATGACATAAACCAAAGTGAAATGCCCATGTATTTTTGCGAATAACATTGCTCTCATTGAATCACATGTTCAAAATTCTTAACGTTGATTCGTTCGCTTATGCGCACTATGTATGTATGTAGAGACGCTCAATGTGAGCGATCAATATTGTTCAAATACATGTGCACTTCATTTCGGTTTTTGTCATTCTAATACTGTTCGTGTAGAAAAAAGTTCGTGTGAGTGACAACATTGATTGTTGTCATTCCACTGTTTTCTCTCTCTTTGTTTTTAGTTTATTTTATTTTATTCTATTGTATTTTAAATTCAATATCATTTTAAAAATTATTTATTACTTAAATGTTTTTTAAAAAAAAATGAACAATTTATTAAATTACAATTCAACGCAATTCAATGTGCGGTTTATCTCAAACTTGAGAAATACACAAAAAAATCTATTACTTAGACTTCGTGTAAAGAGATGGCGCCAGTAGTAGAGCTTTTGTCAAAAAGTCAAATGTAAGTAGGAGTTGATTTTTATACGTACCGAAGAATCACACAGATATGATGATGTACCAACTGCATTAGAAATCGTTTGTGTGCGGTTGTGTGAAAAAATGTTTGCATTTCCTTTTGTTCAAGAAGCAATTGATAGAATAGATATGCTTGTTGTAAATATAGTTCGTTTGTCGGCAAATCAGGACAAAGTTTGAAAAACGTGCGATATTTTGATCGTGAATCAACAAGATTCGATGGCAATTCCAGTGTATTACTCGGCAGCATATCTTCGACAAAAGTAATCAATTCATCGGCATTTGCAAATGCATTTTTTGCCAATGAAATTGAACGTACCACATCCATGAATTTGTAACCGGCTGGGCATCCAAAATTCATGTTGCATTCAATTTCATGTAAATCATTTTCTTTGCAGTCAAAACAAAACATTGAGCTTATGCATTTCTTGCATGGAATGAGATTCTGGTTTTGTTTGAGGCAAATTTTACATGATTTATAGTGATCATATTTTGTGACACCGATATAGCATTGATCGACCATTACTGTTTTGCCGATTTCAATGTCTTCTGTTGCTACGATATGACGACCAAATTCATCGTTTATTTGAATGTCCAGAACATTTGCGAGGCTTGGGAATTTTTCGTTGATCTCGAAATCCAGTTTGGGCTCACAAATTTCACTATCATCTTCTTCGTTTTCCATCCGACTTAGGCACTGAATTTTTCGTTTTTCCAATTTGGCAAACAGATGCGCTGGATAATCGTTTTGTTTGGCCAATTCAATATCAGCAAGGCAATTTTTAAACATTTTCAATTTCAGAAAACATGATGCACGATTTGCATACGCCAATCCAATTGTTTCGGATCCGTTTTCGGCAAAGCACAGTGATTTATTGTACCATTCAATTGCGTTGATAAATTGAAGCTTTTCAAATGTTCTATTGCCATGTTGTCGGAATCCATTTGCAATTATATCATTTTTATAATATAAACCATTAGAATTGAGGTGCATTTTCTCCATTTTATGTAGAATATATAGTGTTTCCGCTGGTTCAGTATAACGCGATGTCGATTGGAATAAATCAACGTACATTGCATTTTGATCGCTCGATTCTTTTTTCCACAACATTTTCACAAATAATTCACCTTGATTTTTAGTTTAGTTATTTTTTAAAAACTTTTTATATTTACTAAATGCGCGTGTATGTTTATTTAATAAGAAGCTGAATAATTTTAAGATGTTTTCATCTAGTTCACAAAAGTATTGTTGTCACTGCTATGGCTAACAGACGAATGAAATGCGTTTGTTATTGATTCGAATATTCGATGGATAAAATTGTCCGTGACTACAACTGAAATGAATTCCTTGTATGGACACTCGCCCAAATGTCGGACTATTTGTTTGAATTTTCAACTTCAATTTAATATTTAACATTTTTGATTTCATGAAAAAATATCACTTTATACACAATTCGATGCAGAATTTAATTGTGCTTCATTTCACGTTTCTCAAAAGATAGTAATTTCCAAAAATGTATTATTTTTTTCCATTTTTTCGTCATAACATCGAAAATTCCAAATGTCGGATATTCGTCGTCCAATTCTCGGCTCCCTAATCTCGACATATTTCATGCATTTTCACTACGAAACTTGTAAACTTTAAGTTTTGACAGCCCATGAACGCACTATTTACATTGAGGTAAACAATACAAAATATTGGAGTTAAAATTATTAGATTGATATATTTTTGCTCCATATTTTATTTTACTTATTTTTCTATAGTAAAGTGGCAAAAATATTTAAAAATATTACGTTATTTCACTAATCTAGAATATTTTTGGTTTGAATTTCACAATGATCCAAATACGACTTTAACTGTCACATCTGTCAAATCCAAAGTGTTTCACTTGAAACTTCGGTGCTTTATGTGTCTGCAATCGGACGATTTATTCCGGAATAATATTACAGTGAAAAATGAAAAATAAATATAATTGTTTTTCTTTATATTTTCAAAATTTCTGTTCAATAATTAAATTAAACTATCTACAATTCGCCGATATAATTTTTTTTCCAAACTAGTTATTTTTTCATATAAAAAAACGCATTTTACCGGCTTGTCTCAAAATGACATAGTTTAACTTTTGACGTGAAAAAGTGATAAAAATGCCGAATTTTTTTTGAACGTAATTTGTGAAAGCAATAATAGATTTTTGATTAAAATTTGGATTATAATAAAGAGATTTGATATTGATCTTTCATAATTTAATTTTAAAAATGCAATTCAAATGAATTTTCAATTTTTAATTTCAATTCACCTCTCGGTATTCCGACATTTGGTCGTGTGTCGACATTTGGCAATCTACTGTATATCGCCAATGATATTTGCGTATTAAGCAAAAAAATATACAAAGGAAGAGTGAAACAGTATGAGATTAAACTGTTCAACTATAAGAAAATATGTTATGTACAAAGTGAACAATCTGGACTATGGACTTTGTGCATACAAAAAGTTATATTGTTTATTCAATTTTCATTATGATGTCTCTCTTTATTCTTCTTCTTGATTTCATTCATTTGCAGTAATATAAAGCCAATCCGGTATAGAAGCAACTTATACGATCTGTACAGAAAATGTGATTAACCAGCAATCTTATGTAAAAAAACAGTCTGTTTTGAATTGTTTGTTGATTTGAACTCAGAGATTAAATTAAAATTTATCGATTATTATGGTAAACAATGTTGACGGCGACAAAAATGTTTATTTTGGAATAAATCATATTCGATAACTAGAATCCTACTTCAGACGCTTGAAAATTACATTTTAATATCGTATTCTCCTGCTAAAGACACATTCACATTTGTTAAAACTATATTCGGTTTATTTTCCACGAAAATATTTATTCAAGATAAATAATATGTACGCAAGTATGTTTCCATTATAGAAAACTGATACAATTCTTAGTTGATAACATTTTTTTGTATTATAAAGTCAATTGTACGTTGGAAATTAACAATAAATAAACATTTTCTCCATATTATGGGTACTACATTATGTGTAGCGTTGTGTTTTTGGGTTATAAAGATGATTTGCACAACAACAGAAACATTTGATGATTTGCACAACCTACTTTACTTTTCAACCAATACACACTAAAACATACTAAAATACCATTCTCAAAAATCAAATCGTTTGATTTTGTCGTGAAAATGTGTCTTTGTTCGAAATCAAATCGAAAATTCTTTAAAACATTAATTTACATTTCATTTTCGAAGGATTCAATTGTCAAACAGTGTGTCAACCTAAGGGAATAAAATGACATACTCATATTCATTCGAAAATAAGCATATACATACGAGATCTGTCTGCCATATGTCAAATGTCACCACAAACACTATTGCTAAAACAACAATCATGTTTTCAAATAGAAACACAAAACACATTCGGCACCAGAAATTCACAAAAACTAGCATTATTATCACGATAAAGTAATCAAATATGCAAAGTAACCTTTCTGTCTTCTACCAATATTCGTTCATCTAGCCTGCAAACAATTGTTCGGTATCATATGCCAAAAATGAAAAGTTGACACACAAACACACGGTTCGGCAAGAAAATTAAACTCAAATCACAATGAGATGCATTGAGAACAATCAATTTTCACATATAAATATACTGAATATATGTGCAAAATGCAAAATCATCATCATCGCTCTTCAAAAGTAGCTGAAGCAGCAATTTAAACTTCTTGCCATCAACACGTAGTAGATATACTGCATGTTTGTATATATTGTCTCAAATGCATTATCGTCATTTGCGTTGTTCCTTTGTTCAATTTTCTATTCGAAATATAATTCGGTGTGTGTGGAGCATCAACGGGATGTAATGAATGTCAGTGCCTTTGCATGGAGTAAGAGAAATTGAAATGGTTTCAAAAAAAGAATGGATTTTCGTTTGTGCATCGTTGAATGTGTATAGTACGTTGTATCATCAAACAAATTGCATATATGTAGCCACCACCACCACCAATACATATGGATTACGATCTGTAAGCTTTATTATTAATTAACTTTGATGAAAGAAAGTAACCCATCCATTGCACGCGTCTTCAAATTAAATTTTAAAGTGCATTGAGTGCAAATTTGTTGAGCTTTCAACCAATACCACTTCCTTTTTCTGACTCGGTCTTTCACTCTTTCTCTCCATTTTCAATTTTTCGCTCGTATCCATTCCGTTCGTCCTTACTACATACCATTATTAAGACTGCATCAAAATAAAATCACACCAAATGGAAGAAATTTTAATTTTTCAAAGTAATTTTTGTATTATATTATTCTCTTGTCTGATTGTGAGTGGTGCAATTTTCACAACTATTCAACGAGCCAATTTTAAATGAATGAATTTAGTCTCGAAGAATTGTAAAGTTTTCAATACACAGTCACTTTTACGTGATGATGTTACACATCTCGTTCTTCACATGCATACACACAAACACAAAGACTGGGAAACATCATGCAGTTTATAATGGAACCGTATGGTTTGTGTAATAATTAAAATCATACAAAAAAAGACTCGCAACATACTGCTACTTTCATCTGCATTCGATCATATGTTAGCGATGTAATACGGTTTTTTCTTCTTTATTTTGAAAGTTTTTGAAGTAAAAGATTAAAGCAACAACGCTTTGAACACGTGCCATTTTAAAATAACAACTTGGATTTACTTCGAATATAATATTAATTAAAATCTTGCTAACGAAACACTTTCCATTGATCCATCCATGTGAAAATTCTCTTTCATTTTTATGTTCTCCTCATTTTTCAATATTCGAATATAAATTTCTAAGATTTCAATGTAATTTCTACTTTATTTCCATTTTAAGAGATAAATTCTTATGAAAGAAAGTCCATTTTACAAATTAAAACCAAATAAGTCGATGAAATGTTGAAAACGTGGTGCTTCGGAGAAGAAGAAGGGTGTAAGATTGTTTTCCAAAGAAATAATGGAATGAAATGAGCGTAAGAAAGAAGCCAATGATCTAGAATACAACCGAATGTAAATAAGCAAATTGCATGAACAAAATAAATCATTCTTTCTTTTTTCTGCTTCAGAGCAAGACACACTTGAATTTAAATCTATTTTTATATTAGTTTAAGTTTTTGTAAAATAAATTAAGCATTCGATGGTGATAAAAATTAAACGCTTTCCATTGTTACTACAGTGAATGAGTGTTAATTCTTGAACACTCTCACTTGAAATATGCATATTTTATACGTGTTCGCTTGGGAACTGTCCAACTCCTTCTCATGCTTGCAACGGACTGTAACTCTGAATCGTTGCGGCGAGCATTTTAAAGAATATTTTCGAAGAAGCAAAAGTTCAATCGAAATTATTTTCCCAAAGTCCATGTTATCTAGTTTAAAAATGAACGGGTGTTTGACTCGAAAATGATAACCAGGAGGCGTGAACCATTTCAATAAAAAAACCTATGAAAAAATGCTACCGTTGTTTCTAAATAATGATGTTACAGCCAAATGTGAAAAACAATGTTATTCGTATCGGCTACTGCGAACGAACACGAATATGAACGTTCGTTGAAATCTTTACATAAAGTAAACATTTCATCATCGAAAATTGTATTTATCTGCAATTTGGGTACATTCGCAGCATAAAATGCAAAATATATTGTACTTTTAACACAATTTACAAAATGTTCCAACAATAAACGGGCCGCAGGAAGTGAGTGAGCAAGCGAGTGTATGTACTTTGTAACGGAAGTGGTCTTAAACGTTCTTTCACTTTATCATTTGATGCTTGGCGAATTGTAGATGTATACGAAGTTGCCAGAATCAAATACCGGATTTATGCAAATTTGTTTTAATTTTAAGTTCTTTATTGTTTTTACAGCGGTTTCCTACTTCGATATACAAAAACAATACCATACATATTTCAAATTCGTGAAAATGAGTGGCTGTCTATGACAGTGGCCGCCTTGAAGATTTTTTTTTCGATCAATTTTATCTAGCGTAAAGCACCCTCTCAGGGCAATTGAAGAGCAAATAAGATTATCAGCTCTTGAAAAGTAGCATCTTCCTGCGTTTTCATATTATTTTTGAGAGAGTTGGTGATTATTAGGGGCCCTTGAGAGCTGAATGCACACATATGAATCGAACAATAAGCAAAGCAAAAGAGAGATGAAGTAAAGAGAAAAGAGCGAATGATTGAAAGTCTAGTTTCTTTTATACAAGCTCTTTATTGTGTTTGCCAATCGAAATGTTCATTTTTTCGTTAAAAAATGTTGATTTTCATATTTCCAGATTTTGGACACCCAACAATTGGGCCAGTATTTTTTTCACCGGCGAACTCGAAAAGTTGAAGGAAACATTTTGACTTACATACAAATAAATGAATAAGTTATGCCATAAATTTAATAGTAAAAATAATAAATGTTTTCTATATTAAAAAATTCTCTGAATATCTTTCCGATGGAAATTCAGAATGATAAAAAAAACATAATGAATGAATATGATTCATGAAATCTTACAAATATCCATCCGTTTGATGGCAGAGAATGAACATTTATGGAAATGTACAGCGGACGAGCAAGAGAAAAATGAAAGAATTTAAAGTGTAGTTCTGCCTTATTTTTTAATTGTTTGGAGATAGATTTCGTTCATTGGCTTATGCCATTCCACTCGAACAACGGTTCATTGTTAAACGAGTTTCAAATACACTTAAAAAAAGAAGAACAAAGAGGGATGGAACGCGGTTCACCATTACGATGCACATACACAAGAAGATATTGTGTGGCAACCCCAACAAAATCATTGCTTATTTTCTCAAGAGGAAAAATGTAACGGAAACTGTACGCAATCCGCTACAAGAACGATTTTTTGCATAGTGAAAATCGAAGTGGCGACAAGAATTTAAATAAGAAAAAACACACACACCATTCTTGTGATTTGAATAGCGTTTGTGTGAATGACGAATTAATGGCTTCAGACTGCCAGCAAATGTGCATTTATTCGCATCGTTGTTCCTAATATTGTCAATTGCGTCTTACAAACGCTTCAAATAGAACGAAGAGAAACAGCCATACATGATCTGACTCTATGTTGATCCCGACATTAGGATTTGTGAACACACACACATACTCACCATAAATACGAGAGTTGTACACAAATGAATGGATATCATTCATTTTTGTGTGACTTTCTTCTGTATACGATGCCAAAACACCATTTACTATCTCAATATAAAAAGGATGGAAACACGCATTCACTTTTGCTTACATCCTAATTTAATTCCATATAATACATGCTCTAGAAAGAATAGAAAGAAAAGGAGAGAGAGTGAGATAGATATAGTTATACGCAGTTTTGTCTAAGCATTTTGCAAATTCGAAAATTTAAATTTCCACCATGAATGTTAAGCCACGTTCTAGTCATTTATTTTGATAACTTGCAAATTACAGCTCATTTTATTCGTTTAAAATCGTATCATCAGCAACGTTCAATGCACCAAATCGCTATTAAATATTTTACCAGCATTTACTTTACATATAAGTGTTGTATGCATGTGTATGACATCGACCACGACAAAAACAGTTGAACACATTTACTCCATCCGAACGAATGAATGTTACAACCTTTGAATTGATACAAAAACCATTTTCTATCACTTATTTCTTCTGTTCACCTCTTCAATTGGCGTTTCTCACAAAACTTTTTGAATTTTAAATTATATGACATGTAAAGTGGTTATTTTATGTGGAATCATTTCTAAAAAAAGACTACAAATCTAGCGCAAGCTCCACTTTTGAATAACGCACATAATTATCTACATTTTGAGATTTTTCATTCGAACTTTTGAACTTTTTCGAGATCCTATAAATAACATTATAATTTTCAAACAAGAAGTTGCAAAGTTGAGAGATAACTCAAAATCACCAAAGATTAATATTGACCATATAAACATTCGCCTTAAAACCATAAACACACAAAAAATAAAATAAATACATCATAGAATAGAATTAGTTTGGCAGTTGATTTAATTATCTTATTCATATTGCAATCATGATTCGATTTCACTGTCGAGGAAAGCAGTATGTTTAAGTTTCTTAGACTTCACGAATTGTTGTCTACTCTCGTTGTATTTTCCAAAAACAAAAAAAAAATATGTCGTTTGGCTTGTATTATTTGCGTCATAAGATTAGATTAAGTTTTGAACATTTCTCATTCAAACGATGCAACAAAACAAAAGAAAAGTGGCAAAAAATGTTTAAAATAAATAAAATGAAATCGACCCAAACAAAAAATATTGTAGTGTATATTTTTTTTTTATTTACGTCTGTCTATTGGCAAAAGTATGTTTTCATTGAGGCAATTTGATTCTATTCCATTTGGCGATGCATTATCATATCTTTTTGTTCGTTGTTGCTTGCACAAAGTTGAGTGTTTTGCCGTCGTCTGAAAAGTTTTCGGTTGGATACAATGTCTCAATATACGTATATATCGTTAGATAATAAGAAAGAATTTGCATGAATTACGCTTTCGATTTTTGTTTGGATTTTGAATTCCATTATGCAATTGAAGTGTGTGTATAAATATATTGCCTAGGGGACATTCATACTAGAAAAACTAGTGAAACTAGCAGCAACTAGCAGCGACTAGCAAGCACTAGCGTATTATAGTCCAAAGCAAATGAATTGAGGCATGTAAAATATATTGTAGCATGCGTAAGTCGCTTGCAAACGAACCAAGTGAATAGCGGAGACGCACGAAAACGAAGTGAGTGAATAGCGACAACGAACGTTGCTATCCGTTGCCGCAATACACTCACTTCGTTATCGTGCGTCTCCGCTATTCACTTGGTTCGTTTACAAGCGACTTAAGCATTACTGTTGTTTCTTTTATGTATCATACGATACGTCTAGGTAATTTCAAAACACTAGAAAAACTAGCAGCTACTAGCAGCACTAGTGTACTCACTAGTAATACTAGTAAGCGATTAGCGAATACGTAAATAAAACTAGCTTACTAGAATTGCTACGAATGTCCCCTAGTATATTGCCATCAACATTTTTGCTCTCTGTCTCTGTCTCTCTCTCTTCCACCCACACAAACACAAAATCTTTCCTTTTTGCAATCAATTTGATAAATATATCCAACATACAAGGCAAACTATGCTCATCTCATTCGAAATTGCTTCGATGTGAAATTCACATTGTGTGACTACAATGTTCTGTGTTGTTCACAAAGTTTTCCATTTAAATTACTTTCGACGACTACGTTCGCATTTCAATGCAAAACGTCTCTGTTTGCCAAAAAATGTCCATCAAGCAAACACAAACGCTGAGAAAGAGATAAAGAGAGAACGTAAAATATATTCTTCTTCCGAAAATGTTGAAATTTAAATCTAGTTTAAAGTTAAAGTGGAGGTGATTTTCACATCAATTGGCTACGTAAATTGTGATCATAATACAGATACCATACATACAGATATAAAACTGAAGGAAAAAAGAGAAAGTCGCTGCAGCATTGCATACCAATTGGTCAAATTGATTTGGCCGATTCAATTTCATTTCACCTTTTCTTACCTTTGAACCATCTATTCATGATCTGTCGGTTTGTTTTAGGTTAAATTTTAAGCATAACCACAATATTTGTCGAATATTAAATACTTCATATGGGTATCATGATCATTTCACCTTACGTCCTGAAGGCAATAGATTTCCGATATTATGTTTCATACGACTCCATTTATCATGCAAATACTTGGATCGACACAAAAGTCGATACGTTTGAATACATTTCAGTAATTAAAATGAAAGTATAAAATTGATTTCAGAAAGTTTAAATTTGCCTCCAAGAAGTGTAGCATACATATTCACCGAATAAAATCAAAACAATCATCTCGTAATATTGATAGTTGAAGTACGTGTAAGTATGAATTTTTAACAAGTAGCCTAAACTGTAAACATTAGCAACATACACAATCGCATCTAGATCATGTATAATAAATACACATCACACACAAATGTTCACAACGAAGTCGATGAATAAAAATTTAACACTTTTGAACGTTCGAAATGATTTTTCAACCACATTCAAACCGCTTTTTGACACTTGTTTTTAAGCACTATGTACAGTGTACACTTAAGCATAGAGAATATATATATGTGTGTGTGTGCATTCTTCTGTCATATCTTCTTCCATTTACTCCATTTCATTTGGTATTCGGATGAAGAGTGTGTAGCGCGCGTTCGATTGTGTTAGAATAGTGTGCGTCTGTGTGTATATGGTTGTGAAAGTGTTTTTTGAAAACTCTTGAGAATGTGCTGAGATAAGCAATGCATATGTACGTTTCACTTCATTCACATCAAAATCGTTTGTGTCGTTTGTGTGTTTTAACCGCAAACTGATGTTTGATTGTATTTATTTTTGTCTTGTTGCCTTTCACGTCTCGCAGCCCATTCCATCGAGTCGACATTTCACTTTGAACGTGGTACTATGTGTTCGGCATTCAAGAGATAGATTAAAATACTGGTTGTCTTTGTTGTTGTTATTATTGTTGCTGTTGCTGTTGTCTGTATACAACATTGGAATTGACAGCTTCAACGTTGAAAAAATCATTAGTGTTCATGATGGCGCACAGTACGTGGCACATTCAATTCACTTCGCGAACAACAATCGTTTTTCTTATAATTTATTTTGTGTCGGCAATATTTTTATTTGACAATGTAACCGCGCAAATTGAGAACCAACCATGGTATGAAGCATTGCCAGCCGTTGCCATGGATTATAAAGTGCATTTACCAGCTGGCAAAGAAGATTGTTATTATCAATACGTCCAACAAGGCGCAACGCTCTACGTTAGCTTTCAGGTAATTCATTTAATAGAACCATTGTCCTTTATTTACCATCCATTCCATTTATTATCATATATGTACACGGTGGTGTTGTATGTGAATTTTATCGTTTACGCATACAACATATGTATCTAATCCACATTCAAATGTGTCCACTCATGACTCCAAGAAACTAATTTACAGTGCCGGTGCGCGTCTCTGTTCAGCTAACCATGATTGGGAAAAATAGAAGCGACATGCGCCGGCACACACATACGCAATACAAATCTAATTATTTTCGTGATTTTTCAATTATAATGCACAGGTTATTCGAGGCGGTGATGGTAATGCTGGCCTGGCGATACGACATCCAAACGGTCAACTGGTTAAAGCATACGAATGGCTACCATCATCCGATTACTCGGAACCGTCGTCAACCGGCGGTTATTATGCTATTTGTTTAGACAATCAATTCTCTCGTTTTGCCAGCAAATTGGTAAACATTTATATCACCGTAATCAAATATGATCAATGGACCAAATATGCTCAGGAAATCGAAGGATTACAATTGAATATGCAAAATTTTACGGTAAGCTAAATCGCATGTTATGATTTTTTTTTACTGTATGTGTGTTAAGCTGTTAATGTACTTTATAAGTGTGTACTAAATATGATTTTCTTCTCAATTTTAGCATGCAATTGGAATAGTCGAACGAAACATAAACAGTATGCTTATGTTTCAGTCTCATACACGTAGTTCAGAAGCTCGTGATTATGCGCTGTTAGTCGATAACAATTCATATGTGCAAAACTGGTCGCTAATACAAATATTCGTCATTTTATTGACATGTTCCATTCAGGTGAGCATTTTCCTGCGTTCGTTTTTTTTTCTAATTGCTTTATTGCAAACAATACATTATTTTTTTACTGTTTTCACTTTGTAATAGGTGTACTTTGTGCGAAAATTATTTGACATAAATACAGGAGGCTATGGACGGGCACGTATCTGATATACTATCGGGCAATAGAAATGAAACAAATTTCACTCAACACCAAATGAGTGTCTCATTAATTGAAACTAAATTAAATTTAGTTTTTACCTCTACTCTTTTTTGTCTACGTGTAAATATTTGTACTGATTGATATCGATAATATATATATATTTTATATTGCAACACTACTTTTGAGCAACAAACAGCGAAAAGTCTTCCAATAGTCTCAAGAAAGAGGTAAAAACAAACGAACTGAAATATTGAAAGAAAAAATCGTTTGCGTTTAATTTGCAAAAAAAAACGTTTAATATTTTTTGCCAAATTATTCGTTAGTATTGACCTAAATAATTATTGCAGAAACCACACAAAAAAAAACGTGAACAATCATTTCAATTTGTTAAGTGAAAATTCCAATTTTGACTTTAAATTGAACCGACCATTGACATTGTACTTAAATATCGCATAATATACCGGAAAAAGGTTGTGAATTCTTTTATAACTTTAATCGTATATTTTCTGGAATGTATCCATCAAACGCACACATTTTTTATAGACGCATTTTTTTTATTTACAAATAAAGACACAATACAAATTAACTTATGGAAAAAAAATACCGCCGGCGTTATCATTTTCAGCCTTCAACAAGCATTGGACAATGTTTATGTGTTCAAAAATAGGTTTGTATACAAAAAAAATTGAATATGTTGTTCAAGTTTGGATTGTTTATTCAGTTTGTGTCAGACACACACGTAATAAGTTCATTAGCACCAGTTTTCATATCTGTTTCGTCTTGTTCACAAAAATGAACACAATCCCAATATGTTTTCAGTTGGATATACTGAAAATGACTTGTTGTGAAAACATCTGAATTAAAAAGAAAATATTTAGAAACAATTTGAGTATGAATGTGCTAAGAAATGGAGGAGCCCAATAGTTTACCGATCCATTGCGCCCAATAAATTTTTTTGAAATTGCGCCTGGTAATTTTTTTATAAACAATTGCTAAAGAAGAAAATTGATGATGAAATATAGTAATACTATTAAAATTATTTATCAATAAATAAATGAATAAAAAAACATTATTTACGAAAATACACGTGAATTATCTCAAAAAAAAATAAAAAAAAACACAAATATTCTTGGAAGGTCGAAATTGAATTTTCAATGCAGCCCTAAATTGAATAGTTTTTGAAATCTTATTTATTTTTTTAAATATAAAACGATAATTAAATAAATCGATTCAAAACAACTTGGATATTCAAAATACAAACAATGTCAACGTTTGGATTCCGAATATGAATACTTAGGAAAGCCAAAAGTGCAATATTATTCACCTGAAACTCTATTTTTTTTATAACATGTTTGTTATGATGTCTTTTTAGTGCCTGCATGTCTATTATATTTAATAATACATCGATGGTTTGTTCGAATCGATGACACATTCACTTCTGAGTGAGAAAGTGAAAAACACATGCTTATAATTTTCCTTTAGTTTTTCTGTTTGTTCTCTATCGTCATGTTTGTAGTGTCTCTTCGAAGCCATCGGCAGAGAATATTAAGATATTATTGATTCGATAAATAGTAGCATGTTGACAGAAATATGGTTTGAATTTCCGGCTGCGTGCCATAGTCTATGTAAAATGTTCCCAAAAGATTGTTCGTCTGATATGTGCGTTAACTGATTTGGTTTTCTTATATTTCAGCTAACAATCGTCTGGCAAATATGGACTGTCTGCTGTGTTCGAACAAAACAAAAAAATGAAGAAGAAATCGGCAACAGCAGCAGCGACCTGAAATCCAAACATTATACAAAAGAAGCAAGCGCAACAAGAAAACTTTCTTGTTTGGGTTCTTGCATGTAAACGAATATGTTAGACTATTGTTGAAATATTCAAAGCTATACTTGCAGTATCATACAAAAGCCGGTCGAAAAAACCGTACTTTTTTTTGTATATGCGTGTGTATGTCTCTTCTATTTTGGTCGCCACATCGTTAGTCTGCCAAAGGATTCGAAGCACATAGTGCAGGTACACCTAGATAATTTTTGTCGCCAAAGTTATTTTTGCAAACGAAGCGTTACTTCAATTGCGACGTTATTTGACATTCAACCAAAAAACTCGATTGAGTAAAAATGTAAAATATGGTCTCATGAACAAAGCATATGCTTCGAAATATATCGACCAAATTGAATATTCATGCAATTTTACATTGGCGACGAACTGAATGTTAACTGAATGTGAAATTATGATTGGACATTTGAAATGCAACATTTCCTTTTATTTAATCGATTTTTATGCTTCCGATCAGAGGTCATAATACTTCCTCCCCCCACCGAAAAAAGGATTCTCTGAAAATTGTAACTCTTGCACATGAAAAGATGATGTTTGTATTAGCTAAAATGTTAGTTTTTCAACCGAAAGACTTTTTTCGTTTGACAAAATTACACTCCAGAAGTCATTTAAAAATGTTAAATTACAACCCTCCCGAACCTATGCCTCCATTGAGTATTTTAATGGCGTTGCTATATTTTAAAGAAATAATTTATAGTTTCGATTTATTTCAAATCCAATTTCTCTTTGTTAAAGAATAATAAATTATTATTGATCTTTTTTTTGCTGCGTTATAACCAACTAAAAGCCGGAAAAACTATGAAAATTGCCTTGGAAAATGTGTTTCTTTTGAAGTGTCTCAATATTTACTTTGAATAACTAAATTTTGTACTCTTTAATTTTTTCGATTGTATATAAATATTGCTTCAGACTTCCTGTGTAAGATAAACTGGTCAATATATATATTCGAAGTAATTTTCAAATAAGAATATTATCGTAATTCAGATCAGCAATTTTCATATGTGTTCTCGCTATTCAAATTCAAATTCGATAACATGCAGCACGCGTAATGGTATATCGTTGCTTGGGTTGGCATGGACTCGAGAATGTGGTGGAGCAACGACATCGAAATGGACTCTTTTGAAAATTTGTAAATAAACGATATTGATAAATGGTTTGCATGTGAACACGCCAATGTGATTTTGTCGTGAACGATATTTTTTTTCTTCTTAATTTTCAAATGGAATATTTGTACTTAATTTATCATGCATTCAAGTGACAAGTTTGGGTATCGTGATAGTGAATAATGAATTATGCCTTTTTATTTGAAAACATGTGATTGGGAGAGAAATAAAAGACCAATAGCTTAAAGAAAGAGAGATTAAATGTTCGTTATGTGTTCGTGGTCACATAGTTCATGAATTTATAACGAAATTAAAATTATTTAACTCAATTGGTAACATAATGAAGGGTAAAAGTAAATTATAGGAATATCAAAATGTATACTATCATTGAATTTAAGGAAAAGCGCCATCAATTAAATTCTAATACAGTGTTATCATACATAGAATGCCGGAAAGACTTTTACCCGAACGAAGGAGAGTGGGTAATTAGACTTCACGGTCAGAAAGTACGCATCAGATTGAAACTAATTCAAAATTCTTTTCAGTACATCAAAAGATTTGTGCGAAATAAATGCAAGCAAATATGAGAATAACAACTACATATTCACACATAAACGTTTAACCCTTAACCGGGCAGGTCGTGTCTCAGAGGGGCCCGGAAGCGCAATTTTTTTAAAAAAAAAGATACATAAAATCGCATAAAATATTATTTTAATCAAACAAATTGTTATGTAATATATTCTTTCATTCTTCTACTAATCGTTGATAAAAGTTGTTTTGAATTTGGTTTCCTAAGTAGCGCTGTATTGAGGTTTGAACAACTACCGGACGTACATTTTCCATCAGTCTATGTATTTCGGATCTAGATATCTGGATATTTAACGCAACTGCACAGAGCCAGAGCTGTGTGCGTCGCACATATAATCTACGGTATGTCGCTACACGTAAAATACAGACACAGTGTGACTGTGTACGTGCGACACTTGATACACATATACGTCGCGACATACCGTAGATTCTATTTGCGACGCACACAGCTCTGGCGCTGTGCAGTTGCGTTGAATATCCAGATATTCTAAAATACCTCGGATGGATATCCATCCGAAATACATAGACTGTTTTCCATACAAAATGTATGAAGTGATAAATTTGTACTAAACAACTACTGAACTGAAACTTAAATTCATCCGATTCGGAATAAATATTGATTATTTTTTCAATTTTTCAGTTATATTTTACAAAAAACATATTTAATTCAATATCTTTTATGTTAAAACAATAATTTTCGTCGTATAAATTCAATGAAATTTGAAAAAAATTTGACCTGACCGGTAAAGGGTTAATTACATAATGTTAAACTGTTAGCATCGTACCGAAATTATGCCCAAACTGTCACACTGCTAGCGCCACGACGGATTACAATGTAATCTACACTAAGTTGCCGCCAAATAGTGAAAAGACTTTTGCTCAGTTGCAACCAACGGACTAGAGCTCCATAGTTGTCCGTAGTGGCGCTAGCAGTGCTACAGTTTTGCATTTTATACAGTCTCTTATGGGGCATAATTTCGGTGTGGTTAGCATCCTTACCGCAATGCGTCTTTTTTACCTTTTACTTTTTTTTACTTCTCACCTTTCAATTCTTTGAATAGGTCTACAATTATTACATTTATCTCAATCTAAAATCATGAATGAAATGGATTGAATTATAGATAAAAAAAATCACTTTTGAATTCGTGTTGATGTTCAATATTCGCATTCACAAAATTGATTGATGTGAAAATGAAACACAAATCCAGTGACAGCAGCCGATGTCCGTCAATCCTATTAATAAATGAGAACGCAAACACCAGATTACTTCGGCTAATGTCTAATTTTTCGATTCATGCATTCACATCGATGGTCTTATTAAATTAACCTAATCGTATTTGATGCGTGTATGCCAGCTGATGTCAACCAATAATCGAAAATGTTCGCATGAAATGCCATTTTACATGAGTATGTGCACGTTATCCCAACTTTATTATAGGTATATCCAAATCGACGAATTCGTCTTTTTTTTTTCATTGGATGCTCGTCCACAATCTATTTATGCTTTTGGAGTATGTTGAGGTATGCAAATGTTGGCATCGTGTTAAATGGTCAATGGCGAACCGCTAAAGTGCATTTTGATGGTGCACAAAAAGTAGTTGACAACGGTAACTCCGTCGCTATGATTGTAACGAATTTTGTCATATTCGCACAACTTTTGAGAATGGTGAAATAACATTGCAATACATATATGAAAATCTTCCAATTCATCCAATTTGTTTCATCAATACGTGTTTCTCTCATTTTTTTTTCGGTTTCTATTGAAAAGCGAGCAAATTGATAATGGACTTTTCGCTCGTATTCGAGATGAGCATAAAAGATGAGAAACAGGAACAATAGTTACTGATCATATGCATATATGTACATAAAATTTGAATGAATCTATTGATTATTTTGTACGGTCGTCGTTCCGATTAGACCAAACCAATTTGAAAACGATCGGATGGTCGTTTTCATACAGCAAC